GCGTCTTATCCGCCAGCGATAAAATGGCGACTACCGGCATTAGCCGTACAATGGTGGAAGCGCTCTAGCTCTACAACGGAGCATTTTCAGAGAAAACCCCACATATTTTATGACCTTCATCGCCCGTTAGGTAGATGGTATCGTTTCTGGGACGAACAGACATTCGAGAGGTGAGATGTAGAGTAACAGACACACACACACACAGACAAACCCAACTACAGTACCCTCGCTGCGCATGCGCGCCGAGGGTAATGAAAAGCACTAAAGTGCAAACCCTCGGCGAAGTAGCTCGCAGAGAGTCTGACACGGGCTAGCTACATTGTACGGCTAATGCCGGTAGTCGCCATTTTATCGCTGGCGGATAAGACGCATTAGCACGCGAGAGTCGATACTTGTGCCATCAAGATAGACAGAGCAAGCGGACCCGGTGGAGGTAAGCCTGTGCTAAATAAGCGCATGCGTCTTATCCGCCAGCGATAAAATGGCGACTACCGGCATTAGCCGTACAATGGTGGAAGCGCTCTAGCTCTGCAACGGAGCATTTTCAGAGAAAACCCCACATATTTTCTGACCTTCGTCGCCCGTTGGGTAGATGGTATCGTTTTTGGGACGAACAGACATTCGAGAGGTGAGATGTAGAGTAACAGACACACACGCACACACACAGACAGACAAACCCAACTACAGTACCCTCGCTGCGCATGCGCGCCGAGGGTAATTAAAGTGCAAACCCTCTGCGAACTGTTCATGTGCGGTACCACTAATTGATGGGCTGGGCTTTTTATGCCTTTACTCGTGGTATCCCGCTAGTAGTTCGCGGAGAGTCTGGCACGGGCTAGCTACAGTAGTAAATAGCATGCGGAAGTCGATACATGCCCTTCGTTGTGACTTGTTGGCCTTCAAGACACACAGAACGAACGGACGCGGTCGAGGTAAGCCTGTGCTAATTTACATATTGGTTGTTCACTGGTTTTCACGCCATAACTTAAAACACAGTAGTTTTACGAAATCGCCTTTTTTAAAATCAACCCGGTGTAGCACTGAACCCGATCATATCGCTATTGCTAGATTTCGTAGCGCAGCGGTGGACAGAGCAGAAAGAAAAACGTGGTCGACAGACAGGTGACAGGACTGACAGAGCTGACCGGTGACTACGGACAGACAGACCACTTCGGGACAACTACGTTAACCTCGCTGCGCATGCGCAGCGCGAGGGTTAATTACTAGTGGAAATGTGTGACATGTTGGCGAGAGAGAGCGACCCAAAACTTGGGCTGGGATTGTCTAGCGATGTCAGGGCTTGCATTAAACGTGCCGTCAGACGCACAGCTTTCCTTCGTCGTGAAGCAAGCGGATCTACACTGTCGCGTTACATGCGTATTGTGTGTATATGCCTGAACGTGAGCAGTGTGAGACAGACGGTACCTTACCTCACGCTTTCAGCTTGTCTGTCGTGGTTTCGTACCAGGCAGCAGGCATGGAGTATAGTAGTAGGCTAGGAGCGATCGATCGGCTGCCCGACAGCTGTCCATCCGGTAGCTGGCATGCAGCAGTATGTGCACGAGCAAAGCGAGCGATATTTGCAGCTTGGAACCATGCAAGCTGGAAGAGGTACAGCTCGGTCAGTCACCGAAGGTGCAGAGCATGCCGTCGAATAGAGGAGAGTTCTCTGGCTGGCTAGATCGATCGGCGCGCATATCGCGGGCATGTGTGTGATGATGAGAAAAATGCGTAAAAATGTAGGACACTCATTCGCGATAAAACCAGGTTTCGACTGATGATCTAATGTCTCTCCTGCCTCGTCCCTCACGTCATCACAGCGTTGCTGTCGTTGCAATGGACGAGCGAAGTGTGTCCGATGTATTTGTGTGAGATCGAAATAGGGCCTGCTCGTGTTGCCTGCCAGGGACTCAAACAACTGCCATAACCGTCACCCAGCCACACGCTCCCGCCCGTTGACGTTTGCGCCTCCTACCCCCCTTCCGCGTCAGCTGCGCCTGCTTCTGCAGTTCTTTCTGCCGATGCTCCTGCCTCCAGGACCGCTGGAGCCCCTGCCATGGCCCCTTCCCTTCCCGCCTCGGCTCCTCCCCCTCCTCCCACGCATCCTGCTCCCCGTCCGCACTGCTCCTGTAGCCTTCCCCACTCTACACCTCTTTCTACCATCTCCAGACCTACATTCCCACTCTCCAAACATGTCCCCAAAGGGGTCAGAGACTGCTGGGCCAAGGCACTCATGGCTGCCTCACTGAAATCGTCCGCAACCCTGCCGACCTGGGTTTATGGGCCAGGCTCTTCATGCTCCCTAAGTGTATATTGGCTAGTCCTGCTGCTGGCCGCAGGCTCCCATGGCGAGAGATCCTCCAACAGGTGAGGGGTCGCCTACAGAGATGGTTTTCTGGGGAGGTAGCCTCCCTATGGTCAGATGCCTGTGCTGATGCTCGTTCCCTCTCCAAGCGTGCTGTTTCCTCTGCATCAACCTCATCACAGCGAAGTAGCAATGCCAGGAGAGCCAGATTGGCAGTTCAGAATGGTCAGTTTAGCAAAGCCATTCAGGCCCTCTCCTCTGAAGGCCTAGCCTCACCCTCCCCCATGGTCATCCAAGAAATGCAGGATAAGCATCCACAGGCCCCACCTCCCACGCTCCCTCCTGGCCCCACGCCTCCATCAGTGGAGGTCTCGATCGAGTCGTCCGTCAGGGAGTGAAGTCCTTCCCCAAGGTTCAGCCCCGGTCCATCTCGGTCTCCGCCCCAGCCATCTTCATGAGGGCGGTGTGTGTTGCCCTCCCCTGATCGAGCCGTCAGGTTCTCACTTCCCTGACGAAGTTTGTGAACCTTCTGCCACTGGCAGGGCACCTTCTTTCCATCTGCCCTCATCTCTGTGGTGCCACTCTCCTCGCATCTCGAAAGAAAAATGGAGGTCTCTCAGGCCCATCGCAGTGGTGAGGTGCTCCGACGGCTAGTCTCTAAGTCTCTTTCTCTGCCACACGCCATGAAGCTTCAATTCTCTGCACCTTTCAGCTGGGGGTGAGTGTTAAAGGAGGCTGTGAGGCTATCATCATTCTGTCTCCCAGTGATGTCATCAGCAACACCTGAGCATTGTTGGACACTCCTACTCGATTCAGCAACGCTTTCAACAGCATCAACAGAGAGTCCATGTTTGGTGGAGTTCGGCGGGCCAGCATCCCTCTCGTAAGGTGGATGGAGTTCTGTTACTCCTCCCAACCTCTTCTCTACCTGGTCTGAAACACCATCCACAGCTGCTGTGGGGGGTTTGCAGCAAGGGGACCCCCTAGGTCCATAAGGTTCTCTTGCACTACACCTGTGTTGCTGTTTGCCTCCCCAAGGTTTCTTTTATTCTCCGCACCTGCCCTATCAGCCACATTCGTCATGCGGCCGAGGAGTTCGACAATGCTGTCGTGATGCCCTGGAGACTATATGGGTGGACCCATGTCTGATGGTCTTGGCTCAAGGCATCTCTCCACAGCAGTCTAGGTGGCCTCAATCTTCGAAGTGCATCCCTCCACGTTCCTGCAGCTTTCCTCGCTCCTCTCTCCAGAGCTCGCAAATAGTGGAGAGAAATACTGGGTCACCAATCTGACATCTCTCCCCATACCAACTCACTCTAGTTCCCTCACAGTCGCTGCTGCCATCCCGAGTGGTCTGACCTTGACAACATCGATGTCCCTCTCCACCAGCGTTTCTATCCCACGATAGATGAGGCAGCAGACACCATCACCTCCTCTCATCCGCCAAACACACACGTTCTCAAGCTCTAGTACTCTCGACTGGGTGCCCCATGCTGGAGTCTGGCTGAAGTAGTACCTTCAGCCTCCACTCAACGAACGGGAGTTGTCGTGCTGTCTGCGATATGGCTGGGAGTCCCTTCACAGCAGCTCCTACATCTGCCAGAATGTCGAAAGATCAGCTGACCCCTTTGGGATCACCAGGTGGGCTGTGGGGGCATGGGGCAATGGAGATCGTTGTAGCCGCCCATACGCGATTCGGGATGTGCTGTTCAATGACTGCCCAGTCTGCTGCTCTGGCTCCACACAAAAGAAGCCCCCAGTTTGGTGCCAGTTTCAGCACTCGTCAGGCTGACATCCTTCTCCAAAATCGGTGCGTGGGCGTCCAGCTGCACTAGACGTCAGTGTTATATCGCCACTGCAGCAGCTAACTCTGGCTGAGGCTGATTCTTCTCTGGCCATTGCCCTTAGTGTTGGCGTTCGAAGGAAGCTGACATCAACCTTCCATCGTCGAGCGGCTGGTGTGGACTTCCTCCCTATTGTGTGTGGATACATACGAGGTTGGTGCCCTGAAGCGTTGCTACTATCGTTCAATAGGTCGAGCATTGGGTCAGCGGCTGAACTCTACCGATCCGATGACATGACAAAGCATCTTTTCGGGCCGTCTAGCAATAGCCCTATGGCGAGGCAAATGGGGCACTCTGGATGCACCGCCATCCATCCCTTCCCCCTTCCATCGACGGTGTAGTTTAATTGTTAATTGTTAATATATAATTATATATTTTTTTCTTTGTTGTCTGTCGAGTTTTCCTTGCTGTTTACTAATCATTTTTCCTCAGTTTCTTTTGCGTTGTATATTTCACTGTTTTATTAAGAAAAAAATAAATAAAAACAAGCGCGTACAAAGCCGCGCATGCGCACTTACACGACGTACGAACGCATATAAATACACAGAAAATTCCGCTCGAACGAACGACTAGGTTGGCTCGCTCCCGCTCGCGAATTAGTAAAACTATTCAATAGTCTCTCGTCGATTCAAGCAGAGAATAGGAATGATATGTCCAACGATAGCCGGCAACAGAAGGGAGCTCTGTCCTGACCACTTCATCACAGATTCTACTGATCTTCACGACGGTGCCCGAACGCCTTTTCGATAAGGCGTGGCCGCCAAGCAGAAATAATGAACTTCCGTGCGCATGCGCAGCGAGGGGATTGTTAGTGTTACATAACAAGCGACAATGCGCTCCGCGCACACATCGATCCACATAATAATTTCGCGCGCTGCATCGCTCCGCATTATTGGCTCAAACTCTGCTTACTTCAACACGTACCCACTGCCGTCTGTCACTCATCATGAGCAGCTCAGGGTATGAACAAAAAAGTTAGTAAGTGTAAAATATTAGCCAAGTTTCTTGTTCCGCAGGGGATACTCGGGGACTGGAACCCAGGCGGACAAGGACAACCACGCAGACCAGTGCAATCCCAACAACGCACAGTACGCGGGTCATGAAAAGGGATACACTGGAACTGGCACCAAATCTGATTTGGACAACCACGCAGACCAGTGCAAACCCAACGACGCACAGTACGCGGGTCATGAGAAGGGATACACTGGAACTGGCACCAAATCTGATTTGGACAACCACGCAGACCAGTGCGATCCCAACAACGCAGAGTACGCGGGTCATGAGAAAGGATACGCTGGAACTGGCACAAAATCTGATTTGGACAACCATGCCGACCAACTCAACCCCAACAACTCCAAATACACGCCCAAAGGTGGAAAGTGAAACACATTTGGAAGACACTTTGAGAGACTGTAGAAAGAAGACATTATACGCAATTGCTGTAGTATTATCATTGTTAGATTAGTTCTTAGGCCATGTATAGAATATTGAGCACATGAAAGTTTGTGTGCACGCTATAGACTGAAATAATAATCATGCACTCAACTAGACGTAGCTACTGAAGAATGAAGTATCGTCAGGTACGAACTTTGTGGTGATGCACCATTAAACCTTTATACGGCAAAATGAATTCCACATTGCACGAATGACTCTCTGTAGCTACCAACTGCAAAGCAATAGAGGTTGATTAACTCGGTGTCATCTGCATGTGGAATGGCTGCCAGAATGAGTAAGGACCCTGAGAAAGTAGCTATATACTTGGATGTCAGTGTGTGAGATAAGGTCTTAGGGGGTGGCACACATTTATATATATTTATTGTTGTTGCTTTTCTTATATTCCCAGGGGTATATAAATAGCAACAGGAATGTACTGATTTGTTGGTGGCTGACCAATATTTCCGCATAAGGTCACGAACGTGTTGTACAAGGGGAATGTCCCGGGGATGGCAGTGGGCACTTCCCAACAGAAAGAACGTGCTAAGTACGTAGAAGTGAGAAATTACTTATTCCTAGAGCTCATGAAACTCAGCAACAACAGAATTCATGACTAAGCAAGAAGTGAGACTTGTAAACAGTAGCTAACCGTTCTGTGAACTATCACATGCATAGAGCTAGGGCACAGGACAAAAGGTACCAATGACAATGAAACTCGTTACCAAGATTAATGTAAAGCACTAAAGTGCAAACCCTCGGCGCTAAACGCGCGAGTGGTAGCATCGCTGTATGCTGGGGGCGTGCGTCATCGACTGAGCCAGTCTCGACGTAACACAGGGTAGCTAGTTGCATTAGCGGTTAGAGCAATGGCTCAGGTGTTTCAGAGGCTCTCATATTTGCTTTATTCGCTCTTCTGTATTTCAATGCTCTCGCCAGACGTTTTATAGATGGGAAGGCACGGCCGCAACCACAAACTGCTTGCCACCTGAACTATTATGCTACATTGCGAACATACCTTGCTCAGCATGTTGATCCATTGGAACCAAATGAGAACAGAGATCACACACAGAAGCGGGATCGGTACAACCAACGTGCGTAGCGCGAAGCTCCACTCCGACCGGCGAGAATTGACATGAACGCCGGTGCGCGCTATTACTATTATTATGATACACACACACACAGGTGCAAAATGACAGATGAGGAGAGTGATGAATACTGAAAAAAGATACAGGTGGTTTGGAAGGTGAGTCTCAATACATTGAAGTGCAGTGTCAGAACAAACCCTCTCGTTGACCACATGTCTTAGAGGTTTGGAACACTCACAGGTTCAATACACCAGAGGAAGTTAGTGTGACAGCAACACTGTGCCACTCCGGCACACGCACCCACGTGTGCATCTGACACTGAAGATGCCTCCTCGACAGTGCGCCATTGCAGTGGAGTGGCAAGATACACCTCTCTTCATTTTCCTGAACTAAGATTGTTTTGGGCGGGTCTCCAAACATTTGGCACTGAATGGAACAAGTGTATTGTTTCTTGTCAACACTCTCTGTTTGTGTTCACCAACTGTCCGCTACCTATGTAGTCTACTGCAAAGAAATTTTTGATGACATTTTTCTATTTTTCTCCCTTGTACGCAAGTAATGGCACAAGGCAGAGTTGTGAGCGTGTGGAGCTCATTCTGGTACAAGGGGTCTACTACCCTCCCGCAACTGGAGGACGGCTCGCAGAGAGTCCAAGAAACGGAACACACTGGCCCACAACCTGATGGACCATCTGGGACCGTGAAGACCTTGGCCTGCGCTCCTCCGTCTTCTTCCTATAGCAAGTACCAGCCAGGCAGTTGGACCCCAATGTCATCAGTGGCATTCGACGGTTCTGGTGATCCTTTTTTAGACTTTTCCCCTTTGCTAAATTTCCTGCCCCTTTTTATCGTATCGTAAAATCTGCTTTGCTAGTGGCACAGTTGTTCTATGTCTAACCAGTGTAACAGCCATGGAATGTGAATTTGTTCGGAACACGTGTTAATGAAACAACTTTGGATTCCGTGTCACTTCTCAGTGTAGCCGCATCAATATTGTTCTTTTCAACGTTGCAAGTGTATCAGAATATAATTGGAGTTCTTGGTCGTGTATGAGTGTGTTGTGGTGTGTTCAGGGCCTGATTCTTCGAATGCGTGCAGTGTGTCGATGCATTCAGTAACATGTGTCACATGCAGCACTCACAAAGCCAAACTGTGCTCTTAAGATGTTTCGGACGTGGTAGCTGTTATTGAGGCAGTGTCCAGCGTAAATGTCGCTCCTTCTGTCATGTGTTTGAGAGCAAACCGGCCGTGTTGACATGATAGAAGGCTGTTTGAGCGTGTACGAGATTGACGGTAGTGTATGGAATATGCTGGCATATACATCTCATGTGGACATGCAGGTCGTATACGCTTTAAGCACTTTCGCGTCACTGTGTTCTAGTCTCTGCTTGTTAACCACCACTATACATTCTCTGTGTGAAGTAATTTTTGAGAATAATGGACTCAGATGCTTCAGTTCCCTTTTGCAATTGTTTAGTGAACGTACTATGCCGTGCTTGCTACCACAGAAATTCTGGCAGATGCCCTTAAAGAGACGCAAAACTTGGTCCTAGTCGCCGACATTTGTTTTTGTTGGTATCACTTGGCAGCTCTGTTATTTAAGTATGTCTGTTTTTACTTTTCCTCCTTTTGTGCTGCAAGCAGATTGCCTGAATTTCGACAGCAACACTCACTCGACCATTGATATTCACGCGCTGTTGTTCGGCACACGGAACAACCATTGCCCGTTTTGCCACGCCCAGCATAATGCTCACCAAGGTCCCTGCCAGCTCTTCCACGTGGGGAACCCCCCTCCGAGATAGGCTAACGAGTTCATCCCGTGCTTGGTGTGGGCCCTCGACCCTCCAAGGACGTGTACTGCATAACCATCCACTGCTGACCAGACGTGATAGAGATGCTAGCGTCCCATGTCACGACCTCGAACAGGTATGGCGTCGTTACGAAGCAGATTGAAGGCATCGTCCTCCAGACGGTCCATCCCCGCACATCATCAACACCACCTTCCTACGATTTGTTCAGGATTTGAGGTTGTTTGAGCTGAAGCTACAAGAAACCGCTCGGAGGAAAACATCCAACTTCGGAGGAAGGCGTTCCAAATCGAAAACCCGTCCAATAGCTCTGTGCGGAGCCCGTCCGGAAAGTCGGGGGTTTCCCCCGCTGGTACGCGAAGAGCTACTGCGCACCTCACGGAAGCGCCTCTCTTTCATTCCCCAAAGTCAAGCGTGGACTCGACCCGCGACCATTTTTTCTACTGCGTCTCGCGCCACAACCAAAAGGTGATTCCACTTTGGTACTTAAGCGGGACAAGTGTTGTCAGGCCCGCAGTCGACGAGGGACTCCGTCCAAGGGTCGCTGCGCAGCTTCTCCGAATGGTTGCTACACAAACGGAGTGATTCATAATGTACCTTGCATGGAAGCAGCTGGATTGGTGACCTGAGACTCCTGCACTGTTTGACATTCCGCATATCACTTATGCTCACTATATACCTCCTTCTCCCCATGTAACCGTCACACAGAAAGTTAGTAAGAGGTTTATTTCACAACTATCACTGATTGATTCTCTCCTTCACTTACCTTTATATTATAACTGTTTTTTCTTATGTGGGCTTTTCAACCATGTGCCGCTCTGCTGCAAACTACCCACTTTTTTTATACCTTTGTAGTCATGTCTCTGTGGTGTAGCTATTGACTTTACATTAACTCAGATTTTTTGAGTATGAACCGTAATATAACAGAGTCATGAAAATAAGCATAGTGAGAGACTGGTGGGCCACGTACATCGCGAGGGAGGTATTAAATGTCGCGACTTCTGGTGTAAGGAACCGCGACCGTATGAACCACCACGATGGCTTGGCTTCTAAATTTAAACCCCATTGTCCGCGTCCACCTGTAGCCTCGTTTCTTCTTCTCTTCTTCTCCGTTTCCTCTACTCAGCCAGAAGCTAGGATCGCTCTAGAGCTAGAAGACGCTTCTTCCAAGTCCCAATCACGTTGGTTGTGGCGCCACATACCTGAAAACCAGCATGCAGAGGAGAAACCGTACGATAAGCACTTTTTAGCTGGGTGGGGGCTACAGAGCAGGGGCTAGGGCTATAACCACAAGGGCGGCCGATCAGCCATCGGGATCCTTCTAGAGCCGGCAGGCACCATTAATCCAGCACAGGCATGTCGCCCTTTACCCTCGAAAAAAAGCTGCATTAAAATTCACACACACACACACAATACCCATTTGCCACTTGTGAGTATTACTAGAGTAAATACATCACCCAGGATCCTAAAGTAACAAGCCATTTCCCCTTAGTAAATGCCATACCTATGACAACATCCACAACCCCTATAAGTACCCCCACTGTGCGTCATTAGTAGAACCATAGATTGCAAGTCCCCCCGAGAGCCAAGGGATGGATTGTAACACTTCAATACCAGTACTGCTAAGCTTATAGTTTTCACGAATTCTGTGCAATTGGAGTGTTTTGGGAGCGTTTGGCTATCCATAAGATGCTTTAAAACCCAAACCCTTTACGAACTCCACCGTCCCCAGTCTCAAGGCTGGGCACCATTCCTTACTCCTTGTGATTGTTATGTGTATTGCATACCAATAGCTGTCCGCTCTAACGCAGCGACCGGCCCGCCCCTAGGACCTACCTCCATAACGTAGGGCCCTTTCAAATACAATCAATGACACAGAACATAGAGGAGCAATATAGCTCATACGGCGCGCATGGCCCCAAGTAGAGGTAGAAGTGAGTCAACAGTGAATCTGATGCACGACACGACTCCTAGCGCCACACGCGGGAGGTCAGCACACAACTCGGCCTCCCACACTCTGGAGGACGATCTTCCGGGTCTTCTTCTCTCTTCCCCCATGACCGAAACACACACACACCACACAGCCTCTTTTGCTCCAGACAGGTCATCGGCACACATAACTCTACCCGTTATGGCCACCAATCTTTCACCATGAGAATAACCCGTACAATAGCATAAGGCGACGAGCAGATTGCACTCCCATTATTGTTATACACAGCAACATTAGGACACTTTCAGGCATAAACACACCCTCTTTTATGCGATATACATCATCAGTTTTGCGAACTATTACATGTGTTCCGTAACAAAATATGAGCAATAAGGAACCGATCTGATTTTGTACTCACGTAACTCACAATTGCTTATGCAGTGATTTGCAATATGGGACGGAGCTGATTCTACACTCCCATTGCTGTTTATCACATGAATAGCAGGACATTTCAACAATGCTATGATATAATTTTTTACTGGTTAATTGATACCATGTAATTTGAAATTGATTGTTGTTTAAGATAATCGTGTGCTCACAAAGCTCTCCAAACTCTCCATTGCGTATACAGAAAAGTGTAATAAGGGACCGAGCTGATTCTGCACTCGCATTGCTGTTTATCACTTCATTATCATGACATTATCAGCATAAGAACATTCTACTCCTATGATATGCATCGTCTAATTACAAGTGATTCGATATGAAGTAATTGATGGTGAAATGTGCAACAAGGAACCAAGCTTATTCTGCACTCCCAATGCTGTTTACCGCATCAACATTAGTACATTTCAATTTGATTTGTAATTGATTCTGAAATGTGCATCAAGGAACCGAGCCCATTCTGCACTCCCAATGCTGTTTATCACATCAACATTAGTACATTAGGTAACAAAAAACACTCTCTTTCATGATATACATGTTAACTAATTACACGTGTTATCCGTAATAAAGTGACTGATAATGTAATGTGCAATAAGGGACCGATCTGATTCATAACTCACCATTGCTGATGCAGTGATGTGCACTTAGGGATCGAGCTGATTCTACACGAAATGAAGTAATTGATTGTGAAATGTGCATCAAGGAAGCGAGCTCATTCTGCACTCCCAATGCTGTTTATCACATCAACATTAGGATATTTTACACTCTCTTTTATGATATATAATTATACATCATAAATTTTGTTAACTAATTACAATGTGTGATTTGTAATAAAGTGATTGATAGTGTATTATGCACTAGGGACCGATCTGATTCTACACTCCCAATGCTGTTTATCACATCAACATTAGGATATTTTAAAGACGGTAAATTCCTGGTCGCAACATAAATGCTGATAGTCCAACGGGTGAATTAACTCGGTTCCTTAGCTCCATTACTCTGTTTATAGTACCATACTATCCCCGTAACCAAATGTGGTGGAAATGAAGCTAGTGCAGTGTTTGGTGATGACAGAAGAATATATATTCCTGGTGTCGACATGAATGCCGATAGTTGAAGGCTGTAATTAACTCGGTTCCTTAGCTCCATTACTCTGTTTATAAATACTGTACTATCCATATGTAACCAAATGATGTGGAAATGTTCCTTAGCCCCGGGATGTGATTCGAGAAGGTTCGGTACAGTCGAACCACCCCAAGCTCATGTGAAAGAACTCTACACATTTTGTTATCTCTGTAATGATGGGATTCGAGAAGGTTCAGTACAGTCGAACCACCCCAAGCTCATGTGAAATAACTCTACACACCTTGCTATCTCTGTGATGATGTGATTCGAGAAGGTTCGTTAGAGTCGAACTACCCAAAACTCATGTGACATAACTCTACACCTTTTTATCTCTGCGGTGATGTGGTTCGAGAAGGTTCGGTACAGTCTAACCACGACAGGGTTGACAGGGTAGAAAGAGCGCTGCAGAGAAAGAGCGTGTAAAGAACACTTACATGCAGCATAGCTGGGGTTGAACTGGACCAATGTTTCAATGTTTGAACTGGATCAAGTCCACCGGTGCACTGGACCATCAGACTGGTCCGTACCGCAACCGGTCCGGTACTCATAATGGCACCAAGACTATACCAGTCATCAACTGTCTCCCTTTTACAGTCTGCTCTTGCCGATTGGTGACGTTCCGATATATTGCAATGATTGAAATTGGTAGGATAGCAAGTTGACACCATACCTGAGAGAAAAGAGCGAAAGCATTATACATTTTTAGAAAATAATGCAACTGGGCTGATGACAGGAAACCTTGTGTGGCTTAGATTTAGAAACATTAAGCAGCTTGTGATACGCTAAAAGAAGCTACAAATTCACAAAATATTTAGCATCCCTGAACAGTACAGACACTGTAAAGAAAGGACGGGAGGTAGAAGAAAAAACCAGACAAAGCTACTTCCTCCCTGCCCACGATTCTTTCCCCACTCACTCCCATCCTATCAGCAATGAGTTCGACCATGCATCTCATGCACCCCAATTAAGGGATTGTAACTAATTTGTTAGCTGTTGATCCCCTTTCATCATTGGCCTACTTTTCCAGTAAGCCACACCCTTCCCTCGGCCAGAAAGTAGCCTTTGAAACTTTGGTTGCTAGGCAACGGCTACACAAGCACTTCCGGGGATAGCTCTAGACGTCAAGTAAAGCAGTAAAAACTCCTTTATTCTGCCAGCGTGACCAGCGCCAGTGGGGAAGTTAGCCTAGGGGACTAAAAGAAGTAACGCCATCTTGTAAGTGGGTAGTGGGTGTATGTAACCAAGCGTTTCTTCCTCTTGAATGGTCAACTGGAGTGTACGGACCTGGCGTGTAACGACTTCTGCACGCGTTCTACGCACGTGGGGAGGTAAGACTAGGCTGAAGGGAAGCTAGGGCTAGTCGCTAGGGCATTAGGCCAGGGCTGGGGGGACCGGGCCAGCAAGTATACGATCCGCGTACGCGTGTAGAACACGTGCAGAAGTTGTTACGCACTGGTCCGTACACTCCAGTTGATTTGGGGGTGAGATTGGGGGCAGGAGGGACGGAAAATAGGTGGTGGTTTTCGTCCAATAAAGAGTGCGTGGATAGGCTGACACCCACCCCTTTTGTAGGGTGGGACTCTGGTGGTACTCACACACCTTGCGGTCACTGGGAGAGAAGTACATACTGTACAGCTCTATTCACCTAGACAAGGTCCGTGGGACAGCATCCAGCTAGACGAGGTCCGTGAGTGTGTACACTAGACTGGTGCGATTGAGATCCTAGTCCTAGCGTAGGCAAGGTCTCACTCGTTCGCTGCAAGATAACGCCTTACCTCACGTTTCTCACAATATCTACATATACCCCTGGTTTGGGAGTGTGCTGTGCATCCTTTTTCATTGCCTCCCTCCTAATATGATTGCACAGTAAAATGAAAAGCACTAAAGTGCAAACCCTCGGCGTTGTTGCAACATTGAAACGCACAATACTTGGCTATGCGTATATATACACACATAGTAGCCTCGCGGAGCCACACAAAGGCCTGGCTACACGAGGCTAATACACGCAAGGGCCGGGCCGCCACGCGCCACGAAGTATATATCCGTCGTCGGACAGCTCGCTCTGACACAGGCTAGCGGAACCGGTGGACTGGTTCTCCAACTAAGTTCATCCCTCCGACAGCCCGTCGAGTACGCATGCGCAAAGGAATAGTAGCTGCTCTCTAGAGCGCGGCTTATGCAGCGCAGTATCTCGCCGGTCTTTGGCCGGTTGCACCAGTAGATAGCGTCTGAAGCAACTTTCCACCGACCAGTTGTCGCTCAAGTTGTTCCTGCTTTTTGTTGACCCCGAAAGTGCGCGAAAACGGCTCGCGGTGAGCTGCAACTCATTTGCATATTGGCTTTTTCACGCCATAACTCTGGAACAGAAGGTTTTTTTCGAAAATCCACGAGTCAAAATCCAAGTAAAGCCTACGAGAAACCCGTGTGTATCGTTGCTTGCGGATATAAACGGACACTGAAGCAGCTAGAGCGGTAACAGATACACACACAGACAGACACACACACAACAGTAACCCTCGCGCATGTGTGCCGAGGGTTAACTATCCTCCCCCCCCCCCCCTTTGTAGGGTGGGACTCTGGTGGTACTCACACACCTTGCTGTCACTGGGAGAGTAAGTATATACACTATTGTTGATATGCATGTAAAAATACAGACCAACATTACATCTTTTATGGTCCTTCTGGGGTCTGGTCTGTTGTGCTATTATAGAACAGCATGTGCAAAAGTCCAACCTCCCATAAGTCTGCAACAACTGTCACTGCCTATTTCTTGACTCTCTGGCTTTCTTGTGGGTATGAGGGTATGTTCAGGAGGGGTAGGTGTAAAACCTGGACTCTGGACTGATGGACTGGACCGTTGGACCGTCCGCCCCCCTCCCGCATGCGCACGTGGAAACCATAGCGCGATGGCCGATGATACGCCGTGTTTTTCAGGCTCTCTGGTGGACGTTCTGGGCAGAAACGATGGAAGTATTGGCGATTCCACACCACCAAGATCGAGTGTGTTCCACGCGGGGTGCATGAATAATAGAGTGGTTTGTGGGGGTGCTATACACTGTGTATGATAAGGAAACGAGACACGTTTCCCTATACATTTAGTCTTTGTTCTCAGGCTTTCTGCCATGGTCGTGCCAAGTCAACGGCGTTCGTTCATCACTATATTCCTATATTCCTATCATAAGACACTATTTTCACTGTTAATGTGTCCACAGAAATCACTGGCAACTGCCACCCCACACACTACGTATACATACCTGCTGACTTTTTGTCTAGCGCATGTGTGCTAGCCTATAATTAGAGGGGAAAATTTTGAACAGCACCACATCTATGGAACGCTAAACCTACCAAAATGTAAACGCACTCCATCCTACTTCAGAAGTCGGCTTGGTAATGCCCACACTGACTTCGAAGTCGGGTTCAAATTCTTAACGTTAACACCCCACCCCATGCGTTCTCAACTGAAGGAATACTATCAGGTTATACCACTGTTTGTTGTCAAGGAGACTAATTTACTTGAGTGCAATTAGCTTGAGTGGTATCATAATGAGTGGTAGTGGTGTGCTCCATTTAGAGTAATGCTGGCAAAGGTGATTATACAGAGCAAACAAATATTACGAGGGAACGGAGCCAGTATACCTGGCTACAGTATATACATAATAGTGTGGGTATGTTTACCGCAATTTGTTAGCCGTAACTAGTGATTGTACAAGTGATAGTCTCAGGGCAATTGGAGTGTTATGCACATGATACTCCCTGTGGCACTTTATCATTAACCCTTGGCGCGCATGCGCAGCGAGGGTTACGGTACTTGGTCTGTGTGTGTGTGTCTGTCTGTCTATTCTCACACTTCAGGCAACGAGGCGGCTTACGAACGATAACCAACAGCTTCAGTGCAACAAGCGCTCGAAAATTAAGCGTTTGCTAAAACTGCGGCGTTTGAGAAACTGGCACCGTCATGGACCGCGTTGCGTGGCCCAGCCCATCAATTAGTCGTGAGCATGCGTACTTACACACGCAAAGGTTCCCGCCTCCTCGATCTAGCTAGCTTGTGTGCCTGCCTGCTTTCCCCTTTACCTGGCAAGAATAGGGGCCGGGAGAGCATCCTGTACACTGCATTGTAGAAGAATCAAGGTAGTCGCGTATCAAGTGTGCTGTTCTCTAAAGTCTCAATTGACCGCTGGGGATGCGTGACCTGGCCCAGGCGCGATGCTCACGTATGTACTTGCTCTGTCAGGACTTGCATTCCTTTTGCGCCAAGGGTTTGCACTTTAGTGCTATTCATTAGAGTGAGAACTGAACACCAGTTAGTGATCTCATGACCTGGCCCTTCAACTAGTGGTGTTTCTTACACATACACAATATACAAAATGTGAGTTTGCTGAGGGTTTGCACTTTAGTGCTTTTCGCTGCAGCCATAAGTAGGTTCTCACTATGATGTCTTGTATATAGTAAATCAATTATTCTTGTCCATCAACCTTGCATCAGCATTTCGTTGCTAGTTAATGTTGAGACAAGTCTAAGAGCCTCCCATTCCCAAGCCTATACTCCATGGTTGAGATGTGTAAGAGCATCTTCTTACAGTGCAACTGTACTGTGTATAAATAATTGTACACACCCGTTTTTGGGATCTTGAATCTGCTCTGTAGTCAATATGTTGTGGGAAACATGCTACTAGTAAACCACATGATCCATGACAGATTTACGGGACATTCAGAGCTACATAGCTTCTGTACCGTGTTTGCAATGTTAAACTATCCCCCAGGCATGGCACCTCCGACTGCAGAACCTGGTTAGGTCAATGCAGAGAATGCTATTTTATCAAAATCGTACTGGTAGTCATCCCTGTCTCTCTCCACTAAAGCACAATGTCCCTCCGCCACGATGGGGAACCCTCTCCCTGTTCTTCAAGAGCTTTGCGGCTAAGGAATAAATCTGGCAGTGATGTACCTGCTAAACGGGTCAGGATGGATGAAGAGCAGGAATCAGCTGTAAGCCATTTGTAAAGGATGTTCATAGGACAGGGGCTCAAATGGTATTTGCTGAATCAACAAACTCTAATCTCTCCATTATCTTTTGCTCTAACAAGGCTGGGGGTGGTGATTTTTTTGCAGCTAGAGCAACTACAGAAGTGCTGTTAAGGTTACGGGTATGCATTCCGCCCACGCACATATTTATACGGATTAAGTACGCAGAATGCAATGTGCATTTTTTAGCGTCAACTTTTGTGCGCAGTGTATACTAAGTGACAGATGCACACACTGCGCACTCTTATTCACCGAAGATTAATATAAGGCGAGAGTGAAAGAAATATCAAAACCAAGCCTTGCGACATGGAAGGGTAGCGGTGATACGATTTTTTTTTTGCGAGTTTATCCGTGCGGTACTGCCGACTCTACACCCTTGGCAGGCTATCACGCATTGGAGCCTAGTAAGCATCCACTCCGGCCATATACTAGGACTAGAGCTACACATAGGTGCCGCTAGCTTCGCACCAGCTCGTGCTCTCTTGGTGAAAAACTGACATGAGAAATCTGCACTTGCCCACTACGCATTTCTCTTATCACTCTTCTTACACATTCCAAATAAAACCTCTGACATCCGTAAAAGCGCAACATATTTATGAATATTTAATTAAGCGGAATGCTACCCGTAACCTTAATTGCCTTACCCACACCTACCTCACTTCGTTTTCATGGGAGCGAGTTTGGGTCATTTGTCGTTCGTCCCGAATGTTTTACCATGGAAGCATTAACACACTCTTTACCTGGGGTTTGAGGCAGCATGCCCGTCCTAACACATTGTGCGCTGTTGGACGCTCCTTTGGGCTTTCGCCCTCATCAGCTCCTGACAGTGGTGTTCACAGGTTTTTGGAAAATCCCGTAAATTTGCTATTCCTCTGTAAAATATCTGTATTCATCTGCCAATTACTCTTTAAGGATGAGGACCAGGTGACAACAGACGAAGAAGAGGTCACTGATGAGGAGACAGATGAACTGGTATATATAATATGCTAGGTAATTAACCCTTGGCGCGCATGTGCAGCGAGGGTTTCTGGTACTTGGTTTGTTTGTATTGTAACACTCTAGACCCAGAGTGCTCTCTGGTTTGGCGTTAGTGCGCTAGCAGCCGTACAAGTTCAACCAGGGACTTTGGATTTGAGCTCTCTTAGCAGAATTTGTGTGAGATTTTATAGAGCGAATGGATGTAAGTGTACGACATGAGGTATACTGGCTGGGGCAAGCATACAGGGTGACAACAGAAAACTGAGTCAGTGTGGTGACTCCGGCTAGCTACCACATTCAGGGCTGGGTGTTGTGGTGCTCTGGCTACACTATGTCTGTGTGTTTTTACAATTGTATAGGCCTTATAAGCGATACCAACAGCTTCATTGCTGCAAGAGCATGAAAAATAATGGAAATTTTGCTACAAGGGTGTGAGAGGTATGGTAAAATGCTGCACCTACCTAGCCCACGTTAGAGCAAGCATGTGGTGTGAGGCCTGGCCCATCAATTTTATGTGCATGGTGTACCACTGCAGGCATGTGCACATTTTTAAATTCTAAAATTACTCTTATTCCAGCTCTATGACACCACTGTGCTCATGTGTGGGCTTGTATGTTGCAAGAAGGAGCTGAAGCTGCCTAACAGGTCACACTAAGTGTGAAGGAGGTAGCTAAATACGCTAGGCAACAGAACTCTCCACTACCAAAAACCCCGCAGGGGAATTCGTGTTCGTGTCTGGAGCCCCCAAGAATGTGCCATGTTCAGATATAAAAACACATCGAGGTGTAGTTTCACCACAAAAGTAAGCACCACAAGCAGTTCCCAATTATCGGGAAGCCAACGAACTCTATAGCTGCCTGAAATAGCACCTTCCAACATGAGGGGAATGGGGAGCACATATCTTTTTCTCAGAAGTGCAACTACACAATGGTCAAGGGTAAGCTGAATTTACATCCTGTGAGTGCATACCCAAATCTGAGTAAGATTCAGGAGGCTACACGAACAATAAGCTTCTTGCAGCTCTGGAAGGATCATCAACATGAACACCTCCCTCTTCAAATTTTTCGTGCACCGAGGGATTCAACAGATTCTCTCCATTTACAGGGGGGGGAGACATTTATATCCATGCAAAAACTTCCACAGTTTCAGCATGTTTGCACACTAAAACAGATGACGATGATGACGAGGATCAGGCAGTTGTGCATGGTGAGCTCCGCTGCACAGCAACGATTGAGAACAAGTCCCTGTCTGTAGCTACAGAAGACGAGGTGCGCAAGCAGCTGCAGGCCAATATGCTGGTTTGTGCAGCATCTCAACTGCACCAACTAGCCGAGAATGACCCACAAGGTGCGAAGAATATCAATGTAATCACCACATATGGAGTTGCAATTGGCACTAGTGTCAGCCTCCCCTTGCTTCTTTTGAAACAAGTTGTACATCTTGAAAGGTCAATGCTTTGTTACGAGGAACTGTGGAGAAAACAATGGACAGAAGAACATTATATGCACATTGACCGCGCACTTTCATATGTTTTGAAAAAACTGACTGAATAGTAATTGCCATGCATTAACACTCAAACTTAGAAGATGTGTTCATCTGACATGCTTTACTTATTATGTTAATCTTTGTTATGCAATGTGAGAATGATAATAACAGATTTGCAGCTGGACTGCAGTAAGGAACCGCAGTGTCTGCTAGATCCTAACTGTCATTAACTAAAGTCTTGAACAATAAGTGGTCAAGATTGAAATAAGGAACTCCAGTGTCAGTTGTTGGACCTAAAGTGCCTTATTGTACATCCGATGTTAATATGTTCCCCAGGCTAGAAACTGCTAGTAAACTTGCAGCACGACTGGGTTAAGGAACCGCAGTTACAGCTATCAGAAGAAAGGTGTCGTGGAAGTCAGACTTGGAGGATATGCTCAACTGACACAGTTTACACTAACACTGACTTTATTTGTTCACTATTGTAAGTTGCGAGAAACTAAAACCGGATTTTCGATTAGATTTGACTAAGGAACCATAGTTCTTGCTTTCAGATGGAAGGTAGATGCCCAACCAGAAGGGTGTGCATTTCTGTCAGATGCAGCAAAGTGTCCCTAAGAGAACACTTGGTTTGTTAGCTACCTAAGCTAAAACACACATTAGCAGAGTCATAGCAGGAGAAGGACAAGGAACCGCAGTGTCTGCCTTCAGTGGAAAGGCCTCCGAGGACTCAAACTTAGAAGATGCGTTCATCTGACATGCTTTACATTGACACTTTTCGACATTCCTACTGTCCTGTGGGCTATGACTTCTCACTAGTACTTGGAAACATACCAGGAAGTGCAAGTAAGATATCCATCCTCATTTCAGTTAGTTACGATTTTGTTAAACTTTGTTATGATAATAACAGACTTGCAGCTGGACTGCAGTAAGGAACCGCAGTGTCTGCTAGATCCTAACTAAAGTCTTGAACAATAAGTGGTCAAGACTGAAATAAGGAACTCCAGTGTCAGTTGTTGGACCTAAAGTGCCTTACATCCGATGTTAATATGTTTCCTAGGCTAGAACCTGCTAGTAAACTTGCAGCACGACTGGGTTAAGGAACCGCAGTTACAGCTATCAGAAGAAAGGTGTCGTGGAAGTCAGACTTGGAAGGTATGCTCAACTGACACAGTTTACACTAACACTGACTTTATTTGCTCACAATTGTAAGTTGCGAGAAACTACAACCGGATTTTCGATTAGATTTGACTAAGGAATCATAGTTCTTGCTTTCAGATGGAAGGTAGATGCCCAACCAGAAGGGTGTGCATTTCTGTCAGATGCAGCAAAGTGTCCCTAAGAGAACACTTGGTTTGTTAGCTACCTAAGCTAAAACACACATTAGCAGAGTCATAGCAGGAGAAGGACAAGGAACTGCAGTGTCTGCCTTCAGTGGAAAGGTGTCCGAGAACTCAAACTTAGAAGATGCGTTCATCTGACATGCTTTACACTGACACTTATTATGTTAATCTTTGTTATGCAATGTGAGAATGATAGTAACAGACTTGCAGCTGGACTGCAGTAAGGAACCACAGTGTCTGCTAGAACCATCAATATCTCTTTGTAGTATTTTTCAGTCTCTCTATATTAATTCACTATAACAGGCTCCCCCAATGTTATCACTGACACATGTATCTACAAAAAGAAAGAAGCAACTTGTATGTTAGCCCTTTTTGTTACACTGTGGTTAACACCTCTGTGTATAGCTTCAGAGAATCAATTCACGGTATTGGAATAACATTCGGAAGAAGGTAGAGTTGTGTTAAGTTTTCTCAGTAAATCACACTGTCAGTATATCTATAGTGTTCTGGATGGGATAAACCAAGTTCCCCAACGGAACCTAGCTTCTGTATGCTCTATTGGAAGAGTGTTCGTGGTCATGATGAGATAGTGTGGGAAGGTACAACCTTCATCTTTTTATGGTGATAGAAATAAGCACATAATCAGGACCAGAGCACATGCGCTCTTTTGTTGAGAATAAAGTGGTTATAGAAGAATTCAAGAAATCAGCACTGAGCAAAGGTATGTACAACGAATGTGTCTCAGGACAACTAGTAAAACATGCTTGTTACAGCTGCCCTAACATCCAATCTAAGTTTGCAGCCAAGCAACCCATCTGATGTTCTCCTGGTTAACCCAATACAGTTAAACTCTACAAATCCAAATCACTATAGAAGTGATGTTCTGGCGAAGTTGATCCCTTTAATGCTAAATCCATCTGGTATATAAAAGTAACAATTCTCTAAAACTTGTTTTGATTAATTAATAATTTCAGGAATGAGAAACTTTTATGCAGATGTGGCTAATTGTCCTACCTGGTTCCCAAAAGATTGTGTTCAGTTTAGAAGACCAAACCATCCAAAACGTAAGACATACTTTTGCAAGAATTAAGAACTGTTAGCTTTCCATTCTAGCTGGTGAAAAACGAATGACAGCAAAAGAAATGAGAATAATAATAATAATAATAATTATCATTATTATTATTGTGACTTTACAGCACACAAAGAGACAAGATGTGAGAGGTAAGATGATAACAATAGGATGGTAGTGCTGAGGGTCTGCTGGAGGTATACACCAGCAGCCTAACAGAACAAAAAACAAACATACTTAGAGATTAGTTCATAGGAGAGAGGTGTCAAAGTTGGGGGAGATCGCCTTTTTTGACAAGTGCCCAAATTGTTATTCAGTGTAAGTAGTAAGTAGCACAGATTCATTGTAAAGATATTGGATGTCACAGTGTTACCACAGACAAAGCTACAAGCAATTCTGTGCCACCAGAAAATACTTCAAAACTGCAAAACTGTGATGGTGAGTAAAACGGTGTTATTTGAGATAAAAAATTACATAAACCATGTCCAATAGGTATGTACACTAGATGAAACAAGAGTCTTCTCCCTTGGGCAGAGTGCTTTATCTAGTGTACATACTGTAATTTGTGTCACCAAAATATGCAATTTGTCCCCACAGCTAGCCCACCCTTGTCACTGTAGTGTAGGCTAATGAAATTGTGGCTTCATGCATATTTAAATCCTGGTGAACTGGTATTTATACAATATAAAGTACCTATTGATCCGCCCACACAAGGTGACACAAATAGACATCGAACTAGATCACAAATCTATTGCAGATGAAGATACAAGTAATTCTGTGCCACCAGAGAATACTTCAATGATGCAGAATTGTGATGGTGAGTACAAAATTGTTATTTGAGGAAAGTTACAGTAAGTAGGATGATACTACCAATTGCTGCTATAACTCTAACCCATAATTATTGTCTTTAATAAGACTATCTGGCATTGGATACTTGTGGCTGCATTCATAGATGAAGAAATGTGATACTCTAAAATACTATTATATACTCCAATATTTTTGCAGTGCACTTGTTATGGATTCGTTCCCACCGAAGATAATTCAACCATACAGCAAAGAGGCTGTAGCAAGCATTTCTTCTCTTCTAAAATGTTGGACACCACACTTAAACTTAAAAACTTTGGCATATGAGGTAAAACTTTAAACATACACTCATTGGTCACTGAAAGCTGTAATATAATTAGGTTCCTCAACAGCAAGGAGTTGAATGTGGTGTGCATGTCATGTATCACATAAAAACTCTCTGTGAGGTAAGCATTTGTTCTTCTTCTTTTTGCATAACCACAAGTCTATATTCCAATGCATCAGCATCAGAATCCTAAAAAGGCCCTTCTTTGAAAACGACAATATCCTGAAACACCCAGTGAACACTGGATTGCTCAGGCAAAACATTTTGGCCCAATGCTGGCAACACTCAGGAGTCAAGTGAGTCTAATAGCAGTTATTAAGTTGAAAAATGAAACTGCTTTTATTTAAGGAAAGCAAAAAGAATCACAGAAACTGAAATAAAGGTACGAATTTGCTTGTTTGTCACAAGAAGTGTCCTATTACTCTTGGCGAGCATGCACAGCAAGGGTACAATAGTTTGAGTTTTTTGTCTGTCTGTCAACTCGCTTCTTGATTATCTATTGTTGCATGAGTCACGGCATGCTTTCCATTATAGCTTTAAGTAAACTATATGCCCACGATTTTAATCTTTTATTTTGATAAGGTTGCCAGCATGTCTTTCAAGCTCAGAGAAAAGCAGAGATAAAGTCTATTTGACTTCACCTTGGACCCTCAAAAAGTCTACCTTTCTTATATTTGTCAAGTGGAGTGAGCACGAATAGACTATTGACAAAAGCCATCAAACCCATGTTACAATTGAGGTTAAGGCAAAGCAAAGGCAAACAAATCAAATGCACCCAGGACCTCGAACACACGGCACTCTGCTCTTTAGGCGAGCGCTCTACCAACTGAGCTACCAGGGCAACTCAGCTGGTAGGGGTTCGAATCCACTACACAACACAAAGCAAGGCAAAGGCAGCCTCAAACAACTGTGCTATGACAGAGTAAACTCTCACTTGACATGTAGGAGCAGGCCGGGGTTATTAAACCACCAATGACGCCCAACTCCAATATGCATGTTACAATTAACGAGGTTAAGCCAAAGCAAATCAACTGCACCCAGGACAACTCCCTTTTCCAGAAAGAAAGGAAAGAAGGAGCTGCCCTGGGTGCTACATGTGAGTGTTGCAGCTGCAAGGCAACATCTCACAACAGCTCCATGGAATAATACAGAGCTGTTTGGACTAAAAATCACAATACACACAACAAACCTGAAATGGATAAATTGCACCACATATGTATGGATAGACTGTGTTGTTGAGAGTCTGCACTTTAGGCACTTTAGTGCATTCATATTTCTTTAGCGGAGAGAATTGGCTGAAATACAAAGAAAAATACTACAAAGAGATATTGATGGTTTGGAAGTATGTTATTAATTGGATATACACTAGTATTATTATGCATATTTTTAGGTTGTTAGTATCAGAGGAAAGGGGAGGGGAGTATTAACAACAACAAAATTCCTAAAAGGAGAATATGTCTGCGAATATGAAGGTGATCTCATAACCCATGGAAAGGCCAAAAAAAGAGAAGAAGAGTACTTAGAAGGACAGAAACGAAGAGCATACAAAGGATATATGTTTTTCAAGGACAAAAAGCTTTGGTAAGCATAGCAAATCACAGCCCACTGTATTGACATTTCTTTTGATTATCTTTCCAGTATTGATGCAACTAAGGATGATACCACTATTGGCCGTATGATCAATCACTCTAGAAAATACCCTAATATTGTTCCACAAATAGTGAGCTTAAAGGATATCCCACACATTTGTTTTTTTGCAAGAAGAAACATTTCCTGTGGAGTAGAAGTCTTATATGACTATGGTGATCGTTCGTCTTCAGCAATACATGCCCATCTCTGGCTAAGAAAGTAACATAATTATTGTATTCATTATAATTATCAGTGTAGAAGCCTTTTGTTCATGTACCAAATATATAACTTACAATGCGACATAAAATGTTCAGGATTCATGTATGATAGGGAGGATTTTATCCTCTTTAAAGATGAGTTAGATTGCTCCACAACTTGACTGTTAATTAATCTCAGATGAGGATATAAGGCGATCCACAAGATATGTACGTGATTTTCATGCCTTCTCCTTCAGTAAGTGACCTAGCACAAGTTTCAACAAAACAACTTACACCTGGCAAAAGTCTGAATCATCATCACCTAGCTCCTGCACAATGCACTTAACTGTGCCACTTGTTTCAAGTAATAGTTGCAGTCCCTTAATTGGGATGCATGCAATAATTATGTTATATAGCAATTTATTCCTTTTCATCATTGAGCTACTTTCCAGTTAGCCACATTCTTCCTGTGGCCTTAGCCTTTAAAATTTTGGTTCTAGCAATGGCTAATAAGCTGCCATATGACCACACATAACTTGCTACAATGGTGAGTTTTCCAAGGGAAAGCTCTATTGCTTTGAGACTTACCTTCATTAGGCTGCTTGCGTGTAAGATTATTCTACGTCTATATAATTATTCTCATACAAAGTAAAGATGCATTAGGTTCCATGGAACTTCATGTGTTTCTGGCTATTCAAGCCCTAGATTATGGTGAGCCACACTAAAGAACACACAAAAGTGTAATGAAAACACATTGTGGGAAAGTAAGTACAGCTCCATGCTCACACTTTCTTTCTTTCTTCACAGGCTAGCTGCATATTATTTTATTTTAGGCTAGACTGGATTTGATACTGTACCTCCAGATACTTGGCAATAGTAGCTGAACAAGCCTATCTCCACCTACTATTAAGCCAGCCATCCCTTTGTCTACAACAACTCAAGGTATAATGCTATCAGCACCATTGAAAATAGGTGACTGAGATATAAACTGGTTAAGCACCTTTCAGCGTACTCGATCTGCCTCAACAAGTAGGTAGTACTTTTGCTCAGGTGACTAACCCAAACACAACTACCAGTGTGCAGTGACCAGATTGAGAACTACTGGACATTAACTATGGGATACCTGCTCCAAGTTTTGTTCATTGTCATTGAACTCCTCTGTAATTTCTTCTGCTTCAAAGATAGTCTGTACCAAACATTAATAGTGCTAACATGTTCCAAAGCATACTGAATAACCTGCTCCAAGGTTTCTTTGGTCTCTTTGAACTCTTTGTCACTTTCTACTTCAGAAGACTGCAAAAGCAACTAAGAGTCTATGTATCAACATAGACAGGATGGTTATAACCTGATATGGTTTGTGTTTGGTCCTGCTGCCTTGGGCACAAGAGCTACTTGTGTACCCTAGTGATTTAAACATAAGAGAGGAAAGGGTATCGTATAAACTCTTTGGGGCCAAGTATGCATATCTGCGTCCAAATTACATATTAACAAGCACTTAGGGACCTTCCGCGTATATAGTAATGCACCACTTAGCCACTACACCACTAAAACACGCTAGGTGCTATGGGCCAAAATGCAACCTATATTCGCTATACCACGGTATAATTTCTACCCTAAAGAGATAGCTAATTATATATACCTTTGCTCGTAACCTTTCTCTTAATGTTCGGGCTTTGCTTCAAAGGGACATGAGTAAAATCAAACCTTCTGTCTGTTGATTTTCTGCACTCTTTTCGAATAGAAACATTGGTATTCCACTCACATGGCCGTTCCTAAACGTTGAAGGTGAATGGGTATACGTATTGCGTTATACTTACCTTCCTCTTTGATGCCTTACTATAGCCCATTTCCCACACCTGTAGGGTAATGAACTAACTAGCTATAGAAATCACATCACTTGGAGAGAATTTCAACCCGATCATGCATTGTAGCGCGTATGACGAAAATACCTTGCCATTGTCTTCTCCTCCTACGCACGGTTCAGTTTCAGAATTGGTGTTTTGCTGGGCCATTGGCATTACTAAGTGAATGCGACATTAGGAGTTGCATTTATGCGCTTAGATAACCGTATTCTTACCTTCAAAACGACTAGAAGAGCTCACAAGTAACACACACGCAACACAGGCAAAGAACCAACAGGCAAAAGACATTCTCTTTCTCCGATCAGGTGCGCTTCGTCCATCCCGCGCACTGCGTAATTTTTCTACGCGCCATGTGCTAGCTGATTCGCCCAAATTGCGTGGGCGTCGATATTTTAGCTATGTGAAAGCTGGGACAGTTCTCACTATTGTGCACTGTGTTCCTGAGATTCATATAATTATATATATATAGAATTCTAGTTTTTGGTCTTACCAGCCGCTTAGCTTCTTTAATTTATCACTTGGTTTCATCTCAAGTTGATTACTTGATCACTGGCTATACAGTGCCTGTCATCTCTCTCTAAATAATATATTGGCAGTATTAAAGACATTTGTGGCTCTTTTGCCATTTATGAAGGCGTAAATTGCTCATGGCGGTTCTGTTCTCTTCTATATACTGGTGTGTTTCCCATTTGAGTCTACAGCATAAACAAAGAATATCTCAAATCTCTGTGGCACAATACCAGTAGCTTTGTCTATTTAATGACGGTAATTATCATAGGAGTATAATGTTTTATGCTTATATTGCCCTGATATTGAAGTAAGAGACAGCAATGGGAGTGTAGAATCAGCTCGGTCCCTAATTAAGTGCACATCACTGCATCAGCAATGGTGAGTTACATGAGAATAGAATCAGATCGGTCCCTTACACTATCAATCACTTCATTACAAATCACACGTGTAATTAGTTAACAAAGTTGATGATGTATAATTATATATCATAAAAGAGAGTGTAAAATATCCTAATATTGATGTGATTGGGAGTGCAGAATAAGCTTTTATGTTGCGACCAGGATTTACCGTCTTTAGTCATCAACAAACACTGCATTAGCTTCATTTCCACCACATTTTGTTACATGGGGATAGTACAGTACTATAAACAGAGTAATGGAGCTAAGGAACCAAGTTAATTACAGCCTTCAACAATCAGCATTCATGTCGACACCAGGAATCTATATTCATCAGTCATCAGCAAATACAGCATTAGCTTTATTTGCACCACATTTTGTTACATGGGGATAGTATGGTACTATAAACAGAGTAATGGAGCTAAGGAACCGAGTTAATTACAGCCTTCAACAATCGGCATTCATGCTCGGGCCTACAAAGTTTTAGGCCTAATTCGGAGGTCCTTCTCCAATGGCCTATGTATTTCAGCCAAGAAAAGATTATATTCATCTCTCGTGCGCTCTCAACTAAACTATGCTTCCCAAATCTGGAGACCTTACCTCATAAAGAGATTGTTGCTCTGGAAAGAGTACAACGACGTGCGTCCAAGTTTATCCTCAATGACTATCAATCAACTTACAAGCACCGCTTAATATCTCTGACAATCCTCCCTCTTATGATGCAACTTGAGCTGAATGACATTCTATTTTTCATTCGCTGTCTCAAGGAGCCTGACACATCACAAGCTTTTCAAATTCAATCCTTCATGAACTTGTCCAAAGGTAATACCCGCTCCACTACTTATCTTAAGTTGAATCACTCCTCTTCTAAAACATCTTCTGCAGCCCACTTTTATTTTAACAGACTCCCTCGGCTATGGAACTCTCTCCCTCCGATAAACTTGGAACTATCTCTCCAATCTATCAAGCGTCATCTCTTACAATTCTTTTGGAATCACTTCAAAACCAACTTTCAGAGTACAAATCCATGCACTTTTCACTTTCTTTGCCCATGCGCTAAGTGTTCCAGTACATCAATAACAACCCGTTTCTCTTCAGTTACTACATCTTAGGACACCAGTACTCCCAAACTGGTGTTCCTTCAGTACACTTCTTTATAATTACCATTCATTTCTTATTTATAGCATCCTATTTTATAGATCGCATTGTGTACTGTAAAGCTTGAAAATAAATAAAATAAAAATGTCGACACCAGGAATATATATTCGTCAGTCATCAGCAAATACTGCATTAGCTTTTATTTGCACCACATTTTGTTACATGAGGATAGTATGGTACTATAAACAGAGTAATGGAGCTAAGGAACCGAGTTAATTCACCTGTTGAACTATGAGCATTTGTGTTGCGACAAGGAATTTACCGTCTTTAGTCATCAACAAACACTGCATTAACTTAATTTCCACATCATTTGGTTACATATGGATAGTACAGTACTATAAACAGAGTAAAGGAGCTAAGGAACCGAGTAAATTACAGCCTTCAACTATTGGCAATCATGTCGACACCAGGAATATATATTCATCAGTCATCACCAAACACTGCATTTGCTTCAATTCCACCACATTTTGTTACATTGAAATACTAAGGTACTATAAACAGAGTAATGGAGCTAAGGAATTCAATTCTTGAACTATCAAATTTTATGTAGCGACCAGGAATTTACCGTCTTTAGTCATCAACAAACACTGCATTAGCTTCCTTTCCACCACATTTAGTTACATGGGGATAGTACAGTACTATAAACCGAGTGATAGAGCTAAGGAACCAAGTTAATTACAGCCTTTAAACGTGTAGTCCGCGGATGAAATATCTGCTAAGCGCTTCTTGCGCGCTCACAGCTCGCGCAATTGCAGAGGCGGAGTCGCTTCCGTGCGCATGCGTATAAAACGGGCGGTGCCTGCCACAAACATGGCGGCGGTAAAATTCAAAAACGTACCAGAAGGCAAGTGTATGGAGCCTTCTTTTGTACCGCTAGCGCAACGCTGGAACAACTTAGCTGCGGTGCGTAACACGGATTGGTAATAAAATGTGCACGCGAGTATATAATACGTATATACAAGTGCGTGCAAGCTGGCTGTATGGCTCAGTCTTCCTCCAAGGATGTTCCTCAGGACTCTGCTGAGGGCTAGGGCTAGGGCTAGTTCCTCAGGACTCTGCTGATGGAAAGAACAAGATAATTAATATCAGCTATGTCAAAGAGCTTCACCATTAGTTCGACCGGCTTCAATGGAGGTCAGCGGCAGGAGCGAGAGCGGACTTTAGAGCTTCCATTCGCTCCTTGAACGCTGCCATCGTGTCAGTGTTGCCAAACGTTAGCTGGATAGTCAAACGAGGGCCGCCGGCCCTCGGTTTCTTGGCCGCTGGAGGCAGACATTCATGTGCGAGTAGCGCAAGAAGCGCTGTTCAGCGCATTCATGAGCAAGTAGCACAAGAAGCGCTGATTCAGCATTGAGAGGCACAAACGCAGCGTGTTTTAGTGCGTGCAAACGGGTGCGTGGTAGCCAGCGGCTCAGGAAGTGAAGAGACGGTAGTTTGAACACCGCCATTTTGTCACGGTGTGCGCTAAAGTTAATCGATTTTTTGCCTGGCACGCCCCTTTTTATACGCGGACTACACGTTTAACTATCGGCATTCATGTCGACACCAGGAATATATATTCTTCTGTCTTCACCAAACACTGCATTAGCTTCATTTTCATTACATTCGGTTATATGTGAATGTAGATCAGCTCTGGCTCCTTGTTAATCACATGGTATCAGGTAACACATTAAAATTTATTTATGCCTGATATTGATGTGATAAACAGCAATGGGAGTGTAGAATCAGATCGATCCCTAAGTGCATACAAGTAAAAAAAATCCTATGGATTACGAAAAGGAGGGCATATAGGGATGGCATAAAAAGATGGAGGTGGTGAGTGAGGAGTTAGGATTCCCGGGGTCATTACACCACCCCCTATATCGTCGCATCGGTGCTAAACAAATGTTTAAGAGTTTGACACCTGAAGAGTGAGACTTATGCACATACAGCCGTGTACATTGGCAATGTTTTATGCAATGTTGTTACACAATCAGCTGATTGACAACATACCTCCTACCACAATACCCTGCATTCTGATGTACGTGTGAACACAATTAAAGCAGACACATGAGCATCATCAATACTGCACATGAATGTTCGTAGTAAAGACTCTTCATCTACTTTTTACCAACACCGTGCGACGATATAGGGGGTGGTGTAATGACCCCGGGAATCCTAACTCCTCACTCACCACCTCCATCTTTGAGCTCACGACACACACCATCCCTATCTTGTCTCCTTTCCTTTTTATGCCATCCCTATATGCCCTCCTTTTCGTAATCCATAGGATTTTTTATTTACTTGTCTCCACTCATTTTTATACATGTTTGTCATGGAAACGATTAAATACACATGCGTACAAAGTTTCATCTCCATGTGTGCTACTGTAGTAAGTTTGACGGGTGTAGAAGGAAAAGTGCCCGAGGCTATTTTTTGTTGGTTGTCGTCATGGAAATACCAAGTTTCATCTCCATGCGTGCTACCGTTAGTAAGTTTGAGGAGTGAAGAAGTAATTATGAAGAAAAGTGCCTGAGGCTATTTGTTGTTGTTTACAGATATGTAATCTAGATGCCATGGGGATGATGTGATGTGCGTGTGTACTAAGTTTCCTCTCAATATTAGTTACAATTAGCCCATTATAATGATAAATAGTTTTATTAAAAAACATTGCCTGAGGCTATTTGTTGTTGTTTACAAACATGTTTGTTGTTGTTATTAATTCCGTTGATTGAATACATTAAGTTTACAAAGTGTCGTTTGCATGTCTTACTACTTGTGAGTTACACTGCCTCATGTGTGCCCATTATAGTGTATTGCCTGGGGCTATTTGTTGTTGTTTACCGTTAATTTAATTATGTACAAACATCTAAGTAAGGGTCCGCGCGGATGTGAGAAACAGCAGTGGGAGTGACGAGAAGAGCGCGGTTCCGTGATGCACATGGCGCAGTCAATTACGGCATGGCGTGTAGAATCAGCTCGATCCCTAGTGCCCATGACTGCAGCAGCAATGGTGCGATGATGAATCAGATCGGTCCCGTCTAGCTGCACATACATATCAGTCACTTTATAACGGATAACACGTGTAATTAGTTAGCATGTAGATCATGCACGAGCAGTGTTTTGTGTTACCATACAATGTACTCACTGTTGAGTGATACACCAGCATGGGAGTGCAGAAGGGGCTCGTTCTTGATGCACATTTCAGAATCATCCAACTCCAATTGAAATGTACTAATGTGATGCGGTAAAACAGCATTGGGAGTGCAGAATAAGCTTGGTTCCGTGTGCACATTTCACCATCAATTACTTCATATATCGAATCACTTTGTAATTAGACGATGCAATCATAGGAGTAGAATGTGCTTATGCTGATAATGTCATGATAATGAAGTGATAAACAGCAATGCGAGTGCAGAATCAGCTCGGTCCCTTATTACACTTTTCTGTATACGCAATGGAGTTTGGAGAGCTTTGGGCACACGAGTATCTTAAACAACATCATTTCAAATTTACATGGTATACAATTACATAACAAATTATATCATAGCATTTATGTCTGAAATGTCCTGATATTCATTGATAAACAGCAATGGGAGTGTAGAATCAGCTCTGTCCCATATTGCAAATCACTGCAATAAGCATTGTGAGTTACGTGAGTACAAAAATCAGATCGGTCCTTATTGCTCATTATTTTTATCGGAACACACATGTAATTAGTTAACAAAACTGATGATTATATCATCAAAGAGGGTGTTATATGCCTGAAATGTCCTAATGTTGATGTGATAAACAGTAAGGGAGTGCAACCTATGCTCGGATCACTTATGGCTAGGGGAAATCCTGATACTGGTTCATTTCATGGTGAAGATAGTGGCATAATCGTAGATTTATTGTGTGCAGATTGCACCTGCTAGTGGAGCACAGAAGAGGTGTGTGTGTGTGTGTGTGTGTGAATGTGTTGATGCAGCTGTGTGTGTCGAGGGTGCAGCATGCCCGTGCCGGATAATGGTGCCTGCCGGCTAACTAGAAGGAATCCCAGAGGCTGCTGCCTGTTGTAGCCCTAGCCCTATGCTTCTGAGCCCCACCCACTAAAACTATCGTCCGGTTTCTCCTCTGCATGCTGGTTTTCAGGTATGTGGCGCCACCTACCAACTTATTGGCGACTTGGAAGACGTCTTCTAGCTCTAGAGCGATCCTAGCTTCTGGCTGAGTAGAGAAACGGAAGAAACGAGGCTCCAGTTGGAAAAGCGACGAAGGGGTTAAATTAATGAAGCCATGCCCATCGTGGTTCCTTACGGTCGGTTCCTTGCCTCAAATATCGTACGTTAATACCTGTCGAGAGCGGAACGACGCCAGGTCCGCCCCCAACACAAGTGGGCGGAGCTCGCAACTACACACACACGCGTACGACGTACGTGTGCGTGTGCGTGTGGAGATATGTGGGGACACTGCTGGAGACGTGTCCAGTATCAACGTGTTCCTGGTGGAGGAATTTCCTGCATACAAGTCGCTCAAGCCTCGACAAGTAGCCGGAGCTCGGCTGCTTACTGTCTGGACCTAGTCAGGTTAGGTGGAAAGTTATTCTGGACGCATGTATGTAGGAGGGAATGGAGCTCTGAACTTATGATTTGGACGCCTAGGTAGACTAGTTGGGTAGGGGACTAGATGAATGTCAGTATGAGCTTACTGCTGCTCGTAACTCTCAGGAGATTTGACCATGAGCACTACCTGTGCTGTCTGTTGCTGCCTCAAGGCTCCAGAGCTTCTAGCATCGCACTCAGAGCTCTCAATGTTGAACTGGCCCAGGTAAGCCACTATCTACTATGTAAGATGTACATAGATTTCTGCCAGTCTAGTACCAACAACTCTCGTGTGTGCCCAAACATATCCAATCTACCGAGTCAGCATTTTGGTACTGCGGGTAGCTCAGTAGCCAATCAGATTGCTAGAATGGAATACAGATGTCCCTCGTTTGGACGGATCCATTGTAAGGTCTGGACATTGTTTTTTTGTTTCAACCCTCCCTACTCATCTTGTGAAAAAGGATGTGATATCTTTTTGGTTTGATTCCAAGTCAAATCACACGGCCGTAATCCGTTAGCAAGAATATCAAATAACTATATAGACACACACAAAATGATCTTGTCGTGTGAAAACTGTGTGCTCAGGTGAAGGATGTGGTGTCAGATAAGAGGATTGGTGAAATGAGAATCCAGTTCTGGAGAGATACCATAGACCTTGCCTTCAAGGTCAGAGGTTTGCATGAAATATCAAAAGAGCTATCTATTGGGGTTGCCTACTCTTTTCTGACCATGCAAAGCACCTTCATTACGCTAATGTAATTTTCTGGAGAGCAATGAAAGTTGCTTGGTGCCAACAAAAGGCTATATATAAATCCATTCTGTGACAGCATACTGCCAATTAGTTTTAGGATACCTTGTTCGCTGAGTCAGCTAAATCACTACTTCATAGATTCTGTGCCGCACATCCTCTGAGTTATGCTGAAAACATTCAGTTTTTACTGCTCTTTTTGATGTGTTGTTAGGTGACTGGTCTACATGTACATGCATTGTTTGCTCTTCCATTTGACATGGCTATGACATCATTGACTTTGTAGCGTTTTATCCTCTAATGTGTATGTAATCACATGTTGATGTATGAACTATGAATCAACATCTTCCCTTGATGTCTTGTACTTACTGTCTTTTTCTCCTCCCACTCCATTCCTCCCTCAGCCTCTACCCCATGTATTCTCTGTGTACTTTGTCTTTCACACCTCCCTCTCCTTCCTCCTCTCTCCTCCATCATTATAGGGTACTCCTCCACAGCATCCTGTGGCCAAAGAGCTCTCTCTGGTTAGTACTGCATAAGTATATGCTATTAGTACGACGTAATAGACATGTTAGTGAAACTAGAGCTGTGATTTTCATGCATGAACAAGTGATTAGTATTGAGTAAGTGTCAAGGTCATTTGCGGTATGAAGTAGTAAAATTGTTTATGCCAACATGTCACAGGCCATCCACAGACACCAACTATCAAAGCACTGGCTGACAAGGCTACTGGATGCCAGAGTACGTCTCTCGTCTTCAATACAACAGTGACTGGTATTCCATAACATCCCAACCTCCTCTGAGCAGGAGAGGGAACTGGGAGTGAGTACACACCTGACCACCAGTGACCTGGAACATCATGCCGAGTGGACCTCCTCATCTCTGCTCTACCTCACCCTCCAGACACTCGGTCAGACCTAGGACTTGATCTTCACTGTGTGTGTGTGTGCATGTGTGATATCAGGTGTTCAGGATGTGAGCAGTGACCATGCAGCCAGTCATGTTGGTAAGGCAGAGACCATCACTACTCTACTCAGAGCTGTGCCCTATCACCTCTCCAGAAGAACTGTCCACATCCCAATGGACATCATTTCTAGAGTGAGTTATTAACCCTCGGGACACATGCACAACACTGAGTGTTTTAGTACTAGTTTGAGTATGTGTAATATAATTATATAGCTGCAGTAAGTAAAGATTAAGTATGCATAGGCGAATTTTAATGAGGCTGTGCGGAGACATCAGAAGTTATTCAACAGTCCAACTTGGAGTTTACCAGCTGTTGAAACACACATCTCTTTGACCTGGACATTCACTCATGTACCACAGCATGGAGCATCTCAAGAAGACTTCCTTCGTGGTGAGGCTACTCAGGCAGTGAAAGATGCAACATTTGATCTGGCCAGTCTTGCCAACACTCATCTTCAGAGGGTACTGCACTCACTAGTATAGCTAACTTCTGAATTCTCAAGGTCTATTACCTTTTGTACTACGTATATAATATATCACTGAGAAGACTCTCTATATACCCCTTTTTTATCTTGGAATGTGAGTGTATAATAGCAATAGCATTCACCTAAGCAAAAGCATCTCTTCCATACATGACTAACAATGTATTCCATGTTGTGCTTGTAGCTATAGGGATGTGATTCTGAGTGACCTAAGAACAGTCAGTGGTCATTAAAGTAAGGAGAGAAGTTTACTAATTAAAGCTGCCATTAAATGGGGCTACAAATATTGCAAGGACCTAGAGCAGTCGGTTGTCAACTTAGTTATGAAAGGTTGCGCAGCACCAGGCACTCCTTGATTGTATTGCACCCACACTCCCAGCTCATGTATACTGCACCATCTCTTCAATACAGTCTCGTTCAATGAAGACTCAACTACCCAAGACATCTCTCAGAGCTCTTCTACCTGCGGTAAGACTGCAATGCATGTTCCTCCAGCAATCATTAACCAGTTATACATTCTCCTTACTATATACCTCCTTTTACTGCAGACAACATGTGATGGTTTTCTTAGACGACTTCAAGATGCAGATTTTAACCCCTTCCATCCACCTCTGGCCAGCAAAGACCCAATGCTGTCATGTAAACTCTTATGGAATTTTATGCTTCATAAACATTTCTAGTTTTCCCTTTTGCTTCACCTTGACCCTCATCAACACCAATTGAATTTTTCGGTATACTTCATCCAAACGTTAGCCATATGTCCCATCCATAAGAACAGTACACTATAAGTGTCGTACTCTAATTATAATGTGTAGCATTCCCTCTCTCGCTAGTTGGCGGCTGCGCTTTAGTTGCCATGTTTGAAGGTTGTTTTTTTTGCGTTGCGTTTCCGTTGCGTTTTTGTGACGTAAATTACCCTCGAGGTGCTTTGGGCAAGCCATAGTCAGGCACACATGGACTAAAGGTATATAGGCATAGAGGGAGAGGGGGGATGAAGGAGTGCCTGTGTGATGATGAGTGTGAAGGTTTGAGTCATGTTGTGTGGTAGTGTCCCAGCATAGTAATAGTTGTTGACTTGCAAGGTTGGGGGATTAGAATGATTGACTTGCAGGGGAGCTTAGGTTGGGGTAGTTGGAGCATTTCTAGCCATTTGGTAGTTTCAGGAAAGCATCCTTAGTGTAAGTTGCTTGAACACATTGACGGTTTATTTGTATAGCTAAGAGCAGTTAGGTGTCTCACCAACATCTTAGTTTGATATTATAACTGCTGGGTGTCACTGGTTGATGAAGTAGTTACTTGAAGTGTCTTGAAGGTAAGAGTTAGGCATTCACCGATATCGTATGTAGCTAATTGTTCCGCCCATTGCTATGAGTGGATTGTGTATTGACCCGGTGCTGCATGCATTTCCACTTGAGATGTTTTACTGCTATGGGATGTGATTCTGTCTGTCCGCAGTCAGTGGTAAGTAAGGAGAGAAGTTTACTAATTAAAGATACCATTAAATGGGGCTACTTAGAGTAGTCGGTTGTCAACTTAGTTATGAAAGGTTGCACAGCACCAGGCACTCCCAGCTCATGTATACTGCACCATCTCTTCAATACAGTCTCATTCAGTGAAGACTCGACTGCCCAAGACATCTCTCAGAGCTCTTCTACATGCAGTAAGACTGCAATGCACGTTCCCCAGCAATCATTAACCAGTCATACATTCTCCTTACTATATACCTCCTTGTACTGCAGACGGCATGTGATGGTTTTCTTATCCGACTTCAAGATGCAGATTTTAACCCCTTCCATCCACCTCTGGCCAGCAAAGACCCAATGCTGTCATGTAAACTCTTATGGAATTTTATGCTTCGTAACATTTCTAGTTTTCTCTTTTGCTTCACCTTGACCCTCATCAATATTTTCAACACCAATTGAATTTTTCAGTATGCCAGTTAGCTGTATGTCCTATCCATAAGAACAGTACGCTATAAGTAAAGTATGTCATACTCTATTATTCAACGACTTCTGGGGGCCCAGTTTAATTCGAAAAGACATAGAACAACTATACAAGGAATTGAGCTTGCACTCAATTGTAAAGTACAGTTTACTTATGCTTAACCAGGTAGACATAAAAGTCTTAAAAGCAATAGTCAGGCACACATGGACTAAAGAGGAATTAGGTATTATGGGGGAGAGGGGGGATGAAGGAGTGCCTGTTGTGTGAGGATGAGTGTGAAAGTTTGAGTCATGTTGTGAGGTAGTGTCCAGCATAATAATAGTTGTTGACTTGCAAGGTTGGGGGATTAGAACGATTGACATGCAGGGGAGCTTAGGTTGGAAGTAGGTTGGAGCATTTATAGCCATTTGGTAGCTTCAGGAAAGCATCCTTTGTGTTGGTTGCTGAACACATTGAGGTTTTTTTTTGGTAGCTGAGAGCAGTTAGGTGTCCCAGCCCTTGTATTAGTCTGGTAACTGAATGGTGTAGCTTGTTGAAGTGGTTAGTTGAAGTGTCTTGAAGGTAAGAGTTAGGCATTCACCGATATATCGTATATAAAATTAATATTCCGCCCATTGCTCTGGGTGCATGGTGTATGACCTGGTGCTGCATGACTGCCACTTGAGATGTTTCACCGCTGTCTTGCTCAGCTTTGTGTTGAAGATTGTTCTGACCACTGGCATCCTGAAGGATGGCATAAAGTCTTTCTGGTTAATATTTTGGGCAAAAACTCTTGAAAACAGTGTCATTGGTCTGTCAAAATAGCTAATACACAGTCTGCAGGCTTCAGAACGGAACGCGCATGCGCGAGTTTCCCTCCCCCCCCAATCGTCGACTGCCGCGACGGTCGCATCACAGGGGGACGTTGGGGGATCAAGACGAAGCCTGTGTGTTGCGGTAGTCTAGTGGTGGACCGAGCCTAGTGGCTGAGCCTCGCATAGCCCAGCCCATATGGCTGGTCGTGTGGAAGACGAGCTAATGACATGGTCTCCTCCTCCACTGAGCAAGAGGAAAAGTGAGTCTGTTGATTGTCTCGGTATGTACCAGCCTTCTCTGACTAGTCTGTTGAGTGGTTCAGCAGAGATCGTACGTACGGAAACTGTTCTTAGTTTGGGTAGTCCAGGGCTGCCAAAAACTCGGATTTTGTCCGAGTATCCGGAATTTTTGGGTCTCCTAAGCCAACTTGGACGGATTTCAACCAATTCCGGATTTTCACAATATTGCGCATGCGCATGCGCAATGCGCAGTTCTCATCGACACAGTGCACGTGTTCGAGAGTGCTACTAGTCGCATTTCTGTAAGTGGTGAATTCCGGACCTATTAGATCATAGGTTATGTGTGAACTTAGTGGGTTGTTGGTAGGAGATCTCCACGCTCTGGTATGTTCACACCTGAGCGGGCGACTTGACGCTGAGTGTGTCGTATGTATGATGTTGGCCCTAGTTTTTTGTGAGGTCAGATATTCATAGTCTCGTATTTCTTTGGAATGGAATGTGAGTAGCTATGACAATAGTCCACTCTCTTTCCCAGACCTCACCCTCTGGGAGGAAAGAGGCTCTAGTATGTAACAGGGTTTCTTGATTGTGCTCAATCAGCACATAGTAAAAGGTAGAGTAGCTCATCAATTATCGGACACCATCACCCGGACACAAGCATTTCTCTCGAACCAGACACAGTGTTGGATCTCCACGCTATGTTGTGTTACTCCCTCTGCAGATATTTACAGTACAAGTTTCCACAGAGGGAAACTAACACTACGGCGGCACAAAGATTGGTCAAACAAAAGAGGCAGATCCTATTTTTAATGGAGTATCCGGACTTTTTGGGTCTCCTAAGCCAACTTGGACGGATTTCAACCAATTCCGGATTTTCACAATATTGCGCATGCGCAATGCGCAGTTCTCATCGACACAGTGCACGTGTTCGAGAGTGCTACTAGTCGCATTTCTGTAAGTGGTGAATTCCGGACCTATTAGATCATAGGTTATGTTTAGTGGGTTGTTGGTAGGAGATCTCCACGCTCTGGTATGTTCACACCTGAGCGGGCGACTTGACGCTGAGTGTGTCGTATGTATGATGTTGGCCCTAGTTTTTTGTGAGGTCAGATATTCATAGTCTCGTATTTCTTTGGAATGGAATGTGAGTAGCTATGACAATAGTCCACTCTCTTTCCCAGACCTCACCCTCTGGGAGGAAAGAGGCTCTAGTATGTCACAGGGTTTCTTGATTGTGCTCAATCAGCACATAGTAAAAGGTAGAGTAGCTCATCAATTATCGGACACCATCACCCGGACACAAGCATTTCTCTCGAACCAGACACAGTGTTGGATCTCCACGCCATGTTGTGTTACTTCAGAGGGGCTCCCTCTGCAGATATTTACAGTACAAGTTTCCACAGAGGGAAACTAACACTACGGCGGCACAAAGATTGGTCAAACAAAATAGGCAGATCCTATTTTTAATGGACACTAGGAAAACACGTGTGTTACATTTATGTGCACTTTACGCATGTACCTAAACACCCGTTAATTGATGGGACAGCCAGTTTCTTCCTCTAACAATGGCTAGCTGCAACAGTGGGTAGCGTTCAGAGCAACACCATCCCTCGAGTAACTTCATTCCTCAGTTGTACGCTGAATGTGGTGCAGGGACAGTACTGATCCCTGTATCTTATCCTCGTTCACCACACCATCTTCTTCCTCGTTCACTACACCATCTCCTTCTTCCTTCGACACACCATCTCCTTCCTCGTTCCTTGTATTCTTGACATGTCTGGATGACACTCTCTTTTTAGCATTTGCTTGTTCTTTCTGCGTTCTCTTGACTTCATGTTCCTTCCTCTTTTCCTCTTTTTGTTTCTCTTTCAGTAGCTTACTTTTTTCCAATTCAGCTTCCTTTTTCTCATTTTCATCTTTTTTCCTCAGTTTCTCTTCTTCCAAATGTCTCTATCGTTCTTCTTTCTCCCTCAATTGCTTAACAACTGGAGAGTCACTCAAACATACAGCACAGGAATTATTCATTCCTGACTTCTTGGCTCTTGAGGTCACTTTGGGTTCGGGGTATTGGAGGATATCACTGAGGTATTTCGATGAAACCGTTGAAAGTGATCTAGAATTGCTGACGTGTGTCTTCAAGGAGTCTGTATCGGACGACCCAGGGTGGTTCTCTTTTACCCACAGCTCGTACTGCGGGTCCTGCAAGATCATAACCCTCACGAAATCTCTGCTCATACAAACTAATTTGAAGGTAGGAGTAGCTGATGTTGTAATAATATCAATTATCACAAGGCCATAGAGGGTGCTAACATTCTGTCACTGACTTTACTTGGATTCAGTGGAGAAATCCCACTCTTCTTAAAACCACTGACGGGAGTAATAGATTGTGCCCATGTTTCACCAACCAGTGATGCTATCACTTCAGAGGAGATAACTCTTCCTTGGTTAGCCATGAGGTATTTTCGGCTGGCTTTAGAACACCCTGATTTGAACGACTTAAACACACCTATATCCAAGGGCTGCAATTGTATGGGATGTGTGTGGTGGTAAACACAGTAGATGTTTATTATTTGCGTGGGCCAACTCTATTACCTCCAAAGTAATATGAGAACTATGCCCGTCTTTGATGAGTAGCACCGGTCGAGCGTAAGGTATAGATGCTATGAAAAATTTGAACCATTCGAGATACATCTCCTGTGTAATCCATTCACTATTACTTTTGAACGGCGCCATTTAGCATCGACTCACAATCGGGTAGAAGGGATGCCCACTCGCAGACACACACACTACAACTGTATGTGTTTTCCCTTTTTCGCCACTATTGAGGGAGTACACATGTTTTCTACCAACAGCTGAGAACCCCTTTGCTGGTTTATGAACTACAGATAGCTATCCCCGTCTCATCTATAATTATTGTAAATTTGCATGGGCTTATTAAATCTCCCATAGAGAGCACCCAATTTTTCATCGACTACGACCTTACTTGCACTAGCAGCTCTAGAATAGGACAGGGCTTGAGGAGTACGGAGAGAGATTTCTGGGTCTGAAAGCTTCTTGCCATCCCCTGCTAGCCATACCACTGCGAAAAGGATAGGGACGCCCAGACCACTCTACAATAGTAAAGGCAGGTTCACACTCACAAACCCAAAGCCACGATCGGCCATTTCTATCACATACTCAGCAAGACATTGCTCCTCTTCCATAGTGAGGGCAGCAGACGGTCCAGGTCTGCAATCGAGAGTCACCGTCCCATTGAATCGCCTCCTTAGTCTCCACCGGTACTTTGTATAGTTTGGCCACGTGACGCAAAGATGAACCACTCTCAATGAAGGCCACAGCCTCCTTCATCGCATCTTCCTGCCACAACCTTCTCTTGGCCGCCATTTAAATGAAGTTTACACCTGGACTGTGTCGTGTGGTGCAAAGGTGAAATGCGATGGGCACAGAACTAGCTTCAATCGCCACACACAAACGCGGCAAGTGTAAAAGTATTTGTTGACTGATTGCTAGAAGGTATGAATGTCATGTTTTGTGAAAATGTCTCATAATCCCCCCCCTGTCTCATAACTGATGTATAATTATACTCTATCATCCATTGACAGAGCCAGTTTCTTGCTCTAACAATGGCTAGCTGCAACAGTGGGTAGTGTTCAGAGTAACACCATCCCTCGAGTAACTTCATTCCTCAGTTGTACGCTGAATGTGGTACAGGTATATACCGTACTTATTATGGTTATTGGCTTTTTAGCTTTCTCTCACGGCATATCTCGTGAACGCAGTCTTTTCCACTCAACCTTTTTTCATGCACTGTAGCTCTAAAGCTGTTGGTATCACTTATAGACTGCCTGCCTCATGCCAGAGCAAGCATTGACACCCATACAGACAGACAAACAAAGTACTGTAACTGAGAGAGAGAAAGCATTCCTTACCCATCATTCCCACTGCGTGTTAGGAATATTATGAGCATGTCTGTACTCTCTGCCTGGTCCACTCCAGTCACAGCTGAGGGTCTAACACCATGCACATAATCTGATTCACACATATTGGCATAAAAACTATGAGGGAAAACATTCTTACTGTACCAGCATCCAATAGCATTCTTACTGTATGTGATATACGTATCAAGGTGGACCCACTGTCCACAAGGAGTCGCTAGCTAGCGTGGTTGAGATCTAGTGTGTACCAATAGATCAGATCAGATTACTTACAACACAAACATGCACACTTATACACAGGAGTACAGGAAATCGATGACACAATATAGGAAATGTAGCATGCGCAATACATTCAACACTCCCCCTCACTAAACATGAAAGCTCTGCAGCATGAAAAGAAATCAAAGGCATGTATTTACCTAAGGCAGGGTTAGGGGCATGTCTATCTCGCTGAGGATATCATCTCTCTTGGGAAGGTTTGACGAGAGAGTCAGGTTCAGAAGTTTCTAAATCTTCACTAGCTTCGTCAACATCGGAGTTATGTTCCAGAGCAGCAGGTTCTGGTGCCGTCTCATACTCGGGCTCAACCCTTTCAGGCGTGGCAGTGTCAGATCCGGGAGATTCTGGTTCAGGGTCCGGCCCTGGTGCAGGATGAGACACAGGTGAGATTCCTCTGGACTTTATGTGGTCCATGTGTCTTCCACAGAGTTGCAATTCCAGGAAATATGAAAGTGGTCCTAGACGTGCAACGACAATTGCTGGAATCCAATTTGGGCCAGTTAGAAAATTCTTAGCCATGACTAGGTTTCTAACTGCGAACTGTCGTATGGAAGAACGGCGGTCGTGATGCTCCTTCTGTTGAGACTGGCGATCGGCAACAACATAGTTATGTGCCTTCTTGATGGTAGATATACTTTCGATACTGGAGAGGTTCTCACTCTACTCGTTGAGAGTTTTGTGTATCCATGTTACTCTAGTTCACTCTCACTAGCCGGAGGACTGGTGCCTGCCTGTCTTGGTGATTGTCATCTCTCCTTCTTTGAAGGTCGCTTGTGGCTCTCCTTGTCAGGCTGTAGCCTCTCGAAAACCTCGTCACTTGTCAGTGCCTCTCCATTGGACTCCCACTGCACCCTTTTACTGCTCTTCATACCCTTTGCAGCATTCTTCTGTTTTTTAAGTGGGGAGGTTAAGTTGTTGCACATTGGACTGAGTGCAAGTCCACATGGACTTCCTCTGTTTCAAAGGTCCCTGTATCTTGAAGTGCTGGCCCATCATGGAGATGCGTAGGCACCAGATGAGGTGGATAGCTGAGCACAGTCAATTCGGTACAAACAAGTAGAATAAAATGGGGCATGTTGCTGGGCTTGAAAGAACACTCCTGAGTTAAGCCTTGTTTATATTTTGCTGCATCCCTTTGAACAGTTGCCTTGTCAAGTGGCTACAAACCAACTCCAGCATGTTGAAGGAGCGATGCTCCACTGTCATGCTTCAAAACATGAATTTATGTACATATGTATTTACCTAATATGTAAATCGTTGTCACAGGTGTACTCTTCAACCCAGACAATGTCCTGGAGACAGTGAAGGGAGTGGAGGACTGGTGGAGTGAGGGGGACTACCATTGTCTAGGAGGAGGACTGGGCTACTGGTTGGCAGTGTCAGAGCAAAAGAGGCGAGAGATCCAGCAGCAGTATGGCGATCCTGATGAGCAGAAGATGAAGCTGATAGAGTGCACGTCTTTGCCTCATGGCAGTGGCTGAGTCGTGCAGTGGGGCGTGTGGGGCAGACACAGCTAGCCCCTCTCATCTCCTCCTATGATCAACCCACCACTGGTATGGAGTCATTTTAAAACGCTACATTTTAGTCTTATCGTGGTGGACGGGCTTAGTACCAAAATCTAGTCTTTCCACGAACACAATGCTCTCTGTCGCAGTATGAGTGATGTTTGGCAGAGAGCAGATCAGGACTTGTCTCGCAGGCCAGACTCTCCCAAAGAGACTAGACCAAGCCAATAACTAGCTACATTGTTAGACAGGCTGGAGTAGAATGGTTATCTCAAGTCATCGATTAGTGGCATATAAACGAGGTGTACTCCTCAAACAAAATTAATATCAGGGACAAAGCTGGAATTTTGCGCATACACTAATTTTTAGGTTCCGTTATAATTAGCCTCAATAGAGTCTGACCTTTAATACTACATAACAGGTGTGGGAAGTACTTCGATATGAATTTGCAGCACTCCTATTTCACATATCCACCATTATACTCCACGTACGTACCTGGACCCCACATCCACGGATGTTGAGACAGGTGCGATTTGAGAGTAACACTTGCATCTTCATGTATATGCATGCTTGCAGGCACCCACAACGGAGAGTTATAAAGGCGTGTATTCTGACACTGATGAATCAGACATTGTAAGTTAATTAAGAGTTCATCAAAGATTTTTTTGCAGGAAGTCGAGGACTATCATGGAGGAGAAGTACGTAGGCTGACTGCAAAAAGTGTTTATGCGTTACATTATGCTGACCATTTGTGTCTATGTGCATATTTATACTCAGGTCAAACTCTATGGATGCAAGGGGGATTACTTCGGCACCTACCGTGCCGAAAGTCTTCGCCATATTTCAGCTTTAGGGATGCAGTATCCCTCTGCAAAGACCCAGGTTCCGAAAGCCGACTTTGTCAACCGAGACACCATCAATGCCCTCGTGCCGCATAGACACATCAAACAAAACTCACGATATCAGAATGGCCTTGCGGGATGGGATGCGGCTTCGGCGGATTGTGCCACAATTGGAGACATCAAGAAATTGCTTTGTATGCAAGTATGCTGTGGTCGGTCAAGAATCTTATGTGAAGTCGCCATGTTGTGATCGGACACTCCATCATTCATGCGTTGCTGGTGTAAGTGTGTGCCCTTACTGCAATGAGGCATGGGGAGGGCTACCCCTGTGCAGTGTGTGGGCAGCCAACTGTGAGTTCTACCAACCGTGAGGTGTTTCACTCACATTTGAGGAGGAAAAAAGGACGACTAGAGTGTTGTGGGTTGGATGTCCACCCCAAGTGCAGAGCAAGAGCACGAGGATGCCCACAGTGTGGAGGGGGGAAGCTTCCCATAAAGAAGGACTACGTAGACTTTGTTAGAGAAAGAAGAGAACAGAGAAGAAACGAACAGAAAAGGCGAATGTGGGGGAAACACACCTAATTACTTACGTACATGGACTCTCCATGTTATGGTGTATTCGGCATTGTACTCTATGGCACTGATTTCCGTGGACTATCCACAGTTTCTAATGCCACATTTTTTCTCTTATGCCCACGTTTTTTGTCACTCTGCCACATTTTTACGTACACTGCTCCACCTCCTCCTTCACGGGGGCAGAACATTACGCGCGGTGCTAGCAGTGCAATACCACGTTTCACCACGTGTCCAGTGAAATGTCAAACCCATACCTCCCACCTCCCTTTCATTGGGGTGCTGTGGAGAACAGAGGGAGGGAGGGAGAAACGAAGAGATAAAAAGATATCTCACTTTTTAGCGTGAAACTTTCAACTGCATAAAATTGTAAAACAAAATAGAAAGACCCTTAACCGATTTCAAGACGTTGCCTGTGCTATTGCCCGGTGGAGGGATGTACCAGCAAGCCACTGGTACACAACATGAGTCCAAAGGAGAGAGCCAAATACCTTGGCTTAAAACGCAAGTTTGCCTCAAGTAAACCATTGCCCTGTCGTGCCGTACCGCTTTGCCGCATCGTACCATTTCTATCATCGTGGCAGGACGCGACGCTAGCCGTAATTTACCCGCCGCAGGCGGGCGGGCGAGTGCTAGTTTGAAGCCCTGAGTATCCATACTAGCCCCTTCACTAGTGGAGTCAGATCCTAATCTGCCGGAATGGGGTGAGGTTCCCGAGTCATAATAATAATAATATCATAATCATAAGTCCGCTCCGCTCTTTCTTCTTTGGTTCCTCCATTCGGAACATTCTGAAATAATGAGCTGTAATAGTGTCGTATCGCTGCGCGCTTGCCGGATAGTAAATAGGGGTGTGTGTGTGTGCGTGATTTAAAAATAATTCCGCATATACAACGTTGCACACAATGAACGAGTGCGTGCAAAGTGTTAATGTATGATTTCAGCTACAGATACGACCTTCCTTTGTACTCCACCACAGCTTCGACAGTGGGGATGAGGTGGAGGGAAGTGGAGAAGGGAGAGAGATCCTGGACTCTTGTGGGAGTGCGGGTCATGAGGTGGTTCCAGTCGGCCACTCTGACCTTGGCATCTCTCAGTCTGAGGAGGACGTCTCGGAACTTGACTTGTTCTGGATCCTGGCCTGCCTGACGCATGACTTGGTCCAGGACCTCAGCCAGCTGAAATGTCTGGTAGGCAGCTCTCCCCTGGTCAGAGAGCTCGGAGCGAGAGTCGGTGGTGTAGAGGGGAAGGTCCATGACTGGAGGAAGTTGGCCGAAATCTCCAAAGGGAAGACAGGAGCATCCTCCAAAGACCTCCTGGGAGTTGTGAGGGAAGGCCTGGCGAAGACGTCTGTCCACCTGGCTGAAGGTCTTCCTCCCCACCATCGACATCTCGTCGATGATCAGGTACTTGACTTCGGAGAAGGCCTGCTGGAGCTTGGTGAGTCTCTCACCCTCCAGGTCCTTGAACTCTCCTCTGGTGGGCAGACTGAGGAGAGAGTGGAGGGTGCTGCCATCAATGTTGAAGGCAGCCACACCAGTTGGAGCTGCAACCATGAGCTGATGCTGAAGGAGAAGTCGGAGACAGTGGATTAGGTAGGACTTCCCTGTGCCAGCTGTGCCAGAGACTATCATCCTGAGGGGCTGAGGACTGTTGGCTGAGTTGTGCTGCTGAACGATTGTGTACACCCGCTGCTGCTTTCCCTGCAGGTTGGCTGAGTCAGCTGTGGTGGTGAAGATGTGTTGTCCAGCTGCCTGTCTCTGCTGAGCTATGAAGGACGGAGCCTCATCGATGTTGGGGTATGACTGTGCAGCAAGGGTCCAGTCAATATCTTCTTGTGTGTCCATGCTGGGCTGCATGTCTGCATTCTGGCGACAGATCAACATCCACTCTTCCGTTGCTCGTGACGGTGGAGAAGTGGTTCGCTGTTCCTCTTGCTCCTATACAAACAAAGACACGATGAACTTTACAGTTATATTTACATGTAAAACCTGACCTCAGTTTCTTCAGATTCATCTTCATTAGTATGTAAGTGCTGAAGAAGACGATACATGTCATCCTCCAGGCAGGGAGGGATCTGGCCAGACTGTAGAAATGCAGCATAGGCATTACTGTAACTGTCATACCCAGAGAGTAGGTCATCTATCTGGCGAAAAGGCTTGTGCTGCATCAGTGACTGGCGACAGTACTGTTCATACTTCTCCCCAGCAGGATCAGGTGAGACGTACGGTGGAGGGATCACGACAATACGTCTACTCCTGGGAGTCGGCCCAGCCCCGAGGGTCTTGGGCATAGAGTACTGGCGGGAAAACTCCAGGAGGGTCATGGGGTTGAAGTGAGGGGAGTGAGGGGAGTCAGGTCGTCCCATGTAGTGGTCGACAATGGAGACTGCTGTAGCATGCTGCCCCTCGTCCAGGCGGTCCTGAACAGCACGAGACCCATCGAGGCTGAGGATGATGCGTCCTGCGTACCTGTTGCAGGCGGGCCCCTCTCTCCTCGCTGGACTCGGCAGCAATTCTCTGGTCTTGATTTCTGCGTACCCATTTCCGCCGCGGCGATGCGTTCCCTTGCCCGTTCCGTCCGCGTTGAGAAAGCCGAGCCTCTCTCTGCTCGGGAGTCTCACGGGCACGACGTTGTCTTTCCCGCGCCCTTCGACGACGAAGGGCATCATCTGTAGATTGATGATCCACGGTTGCCACGGTTGCCACGGTTGCCACGGTTGTCAGATTAGCACACGTGCAGCGCATATGCACATGTGTAACGAAGCCGCGCATGCGCACTTACACGACGTACGATCGGCCCGCCGTTGCGACGACTAGGTTGGCTCGCTCCCGCTCGCCAATGAGGAAAATTCCGGGCCTTTCGTACCACTAGGTTAGCTCGCTCCCGCTCGCCAACTATAATTATACTAGTGGAAACGTTGAACATTGTTGGCGAGCGGGAGCGACCCAACTTGGGATTTGTCTGCGATGTTCGGGCTGCATAACGCGCCGTCAGCGCACAGCTTTCCTTTCGCAAAGCAAGACAGAGCTCCATGCACCTGTCGGCGTTACATGCGTGCTGTAGATTGCCAGAACGGTGAGCAGGTGAGCAGAACGGTCCTTACCTCACGCTTTCAGCGTGGTCCACCAGGCAGCTGGCATGGCAGTAGGCTAGGCAGCGATCGATCGGGCTGCCCGACAACGCGGCGTGGTCGGTCCACCAGGTAGCTGGCATACAGCAGTATGTGCACGAGCAATGCTAGCGTATTTGCAGGTTGGAACCATGAAGACTAGGAAGAGGTACAGCCTCGGTCAGTCACCGAAGGTTGCAGAGCATGCCGTCGAATGGAGTAGAGTTCTCTGGCTGGCTAGACCGATCGGCGCATATCGCGAGGCATGTGTGTGAAAATTTGTCAAAAGTTGGAAATAATTTCGGATAAAAAGAAGCGCGTACAAAGCCGCGCATGCGCACTTACACGGAATAGCTACGGCGGTGCAGGAACCTAACTAGTTACTAGGATGCGAAGGGACGACTAGCTATACGGTGCGATTAATTGGATCTTGAGAGGGCCACCTACGATAAACACAGTGAGGTTAAGGTAAATACCAGTTGTTGATACTTGCCATGCGGTTGGTTAAATGGTGGTAGATGTAAAGTACTGAGTGCGTACTGTAGATTGCCAGAACGGTGAGCAGGTGAGCAGAACGGTCCTTACCTCACGCTTTCAGCGTTGTCCACCAGGTAGCTGGCATGCAGCAGTATGTGCACGAGTAGTAGAGTTCTCTGGCTGGCTAGACCGATCGGCGCATATCGCGAGGCATGTGTGTGAAAATGTGTAAAAAGTTGGAAATAATTTCGGATAAAAAGAAGCGCGTACAAAGACGCGCATGCGCACTTACACGACGTACGACGGTCGGTCGTAGATAGATATATATAATTGGCGAGCGGGAGCGAGCCAACCTAGTCGTTCGTTCGAGCGGAATTTTTTATTGGCGAGCGGGAGCGAGCCAACCTAGTGGTATATACGAACGGCGCGATTTTTCTGTATATATAATTATATATAATTATATTCGGTCGTACGTCGTGTAAGTGCGCATGCGCGTATTTGTACGCGCTTCTTTTTATCCGAAACTATTTCCAAATTTTTACACATTTTCACACACGGTGCCTGCCTCGCGATATGCGCCGATCGATCTATATAGCCAGCTAGAGAACTCTCCTCCATTCGACGGCATGCGCTGCAACCTTCGGTGACTGACCGAGGCTGTACCTCTTCCCAATCTTCATGGTTCCAAGCTGCAACTTGCAAATACGCTAGGATTGCTCGTGCACGTACTGCTGCATGCCAGCTGCCTGGTGAACCACGACTGACGAGTTGAAAGCGTAAGGTAAGTACCGTTCTGCTCACCTGCTCACCGTTCTGCCAATGTACAATACGTTATGTAACGGCGACAGGTAGCTCTGTCTTGCTTCACGAAAGGAAAGCTGTGCGCTGACGGCACGTTATGCAACCCGAACATCACGGGCAACGACCCAACTTGGGATTTGGCCGGTTGATCGGTTAAAAAGAAGCGCATACAAAGACGCGCATGCGCACTTACACGACGTACGACGGTCGTAGATATATATATAGAAAAATCGCGCCGTTCGTACCACTAGGTAGGCTCGCTCCCGCTCGCCAATAATATATAGAAAAATCGCGCCGTTCGTACCACTAGGTTGGCTCGCTCCCGCTCCCCAACTAGTAGGCGAATGCATGTCATTTTTGGCGAGCGGAAGCGAGCTTACAACTAATCGTATGAGTCACTCTTGTGTGTGCACAAAACAGTGAGATACATTGCACAGGGCCAAGTAGGCCTTTTAGACCCGAGCGCAGTAGACAATTCGAGTCGAGTCAAAAACAGTCAGACGACTGCGCGAATCAGGCATAATCCGGCAATCGAGAAAAATCTCTCGCTGGACTGTGCAGCAATTCTCGATAGCTTCGGAGGTGTTCGAGCCTGCCGTGTTGCGTTTCCTATCGATTCAGGCAACATATGAAAATTTTGAAATCCCTTTCGGATAAAAAGAAGCGCGTAATGCTGGAGCATGCGCAGTTGGACGACGTACGGTATATAATATATAGAAAAATCGCGCCGTTCGGACCACTAGGTTAGCTCGCTTCCGCTCGCCAATTATTGTTGTCATACACACCAGTAAAGGTGCACACATAAAATGAAACAGAGGGAGAGGTAGAGAGGTAGAAGGAACACATAGGGTGGACCAGTGGCCGACTGGACTCTGTCCCGTCGCCATCCGTGGGCTTAAGGGCTCCTGGACCGACCACTGATCCCCTCATCATAATTCTTGCAAAAGTGACTACATAAAATTTACTGACATGAAATTCTTGAGATAAGGGACTCAAAGTCTGAAAATAGACCAAAAGTACTTCGCACTAATCTGATTACATATGCAATACTAATATCAGTATCATGAAAACATCTAACATGTAAATGACCATAGTGAAAATTATAACCAGTGAAGCAGTTAACAAAATGAGCAGACTCAGTAAATATGGTACTGATGAGATTAGAAGAAGAAGAGAGAGCTTTTACCAGGAAGGATTTAAAACGTTGATATATTATATTTGAAATGGTTTGAACCTGTGCGACACAATGAACAATAGCAGTGTGTGAACGAGCGGGTAGATGCCAAATCTTGCGTAGAATCTTGTTTAAGGCCACTTCAAGAATACTAATTGATGGAGCATTGAGTGACCAAAGACAGCTGCCATAAAAGGGATAAACAATAGCATTGAAGCAGAAGTGTTTTGACTTGAGGGTCAACAAAGTGAAAGGAACATAGAAGTAAGTTTGCTTTTCGATTTATATCCTTGACAGCCCTCATTATGGAGAATGGCTCAGAAAGGGACAAGTCCCAGCGTACTTGCATCTTCTGCATACTGTACCATGACATTAAAAATCTAACAATTACCAATGGTAAACCACGATTCACAAGAATTTTGAAAAGAATATTGTGATCGACTAGATCAAAGGCTTTGCTAGCATCAAGAAAGCACCCTAAGACCGGAGAACCATTTTGAATATAACGCGACACAACATTCTTTACAGTGGCAGAGCACAGAGTAGTCGAATGACCAGGTTTAAAGCCAAACTGTAAGGCACTAGTGGAAAAGAATGGTTCATACTGGTAGAGTATCAGTCTTTCAAGGATCTTGCTGAAGCTAGAGGACAGAGCAATAGGACGGTAGTTCGAGCTATTTGATGCACCCTTGTTCCCTTTAGGGATAGGGACAAGGACTGAATCGCGGAAGCATTGTGGCATATAACCATGACGAAGAATTGCAGTGAAGAGTGAAGTAAGAGGATTAGCTAGGGAAAGTGCAGCAAACTTTATGTGCTCAGATGTAACACCATATGCATCAGATTTATTTGACTTAAGCTGAGAAATTGCCTCTGCAATGTGATCTTCCGATAAAACCACAGAACTTAGATCTGAAACAGTCAGGGACGACTGAATGGAAGATAGAAGTGAGGATCGAGAGGTAGAAGAGTGCTTGTTTAACAAAGTGCTGAACTTTGAAGCAAAATGATTGGCGATATTGGAGCTACCACAGAGTCCATCAACAACAGGTGAGGACTGAGGGGTTCTGGAATTGTTCAGCCTTTTGATATCCGACCAAAAGGTTTCCCTCCTATTCTTTGCAAACGAATGTGCCAGTCGACTACGCAATCGATATTCCTGTCTACGCTTGAGACGGCGAACCTCGTAATTGTATCTCTTTTTCGCATGTTTCTTTATGGTGGAGAGAACACCAGCTGACGGACATCCAGCTTCAGTCCATATTCTGTGCCAGAGAATTGAGTCCTCCTTCAACTTTGCAGCACTGTCGTTCCAGCCATGAACTCTCCGTGAGGATGATGACTTGCTAGGAAAGCAGCAGAAAGCACAATCCAGTAAGGTAGAAACAATGTGGTTCGCATAATCATCAAGTAGACAAGCATGAGCAGTGCACTCAGGCTGGGAACATTGCAGAAACATAATTGGAGGAGCAAACAACCTATCTGAAACCATATCCTGGTATCATCACTAAGTACGGTAGTACTTAGTATATAGGGATTGGCATGGTACCTAGCATCATAGATGTATGGGGCTATGATAGGGAGTTTTGTTCATCTCTCCTCCTTCTCCTTCTTCTTCAGATTCAACAGCCATAACTCAAAAACGAAATAACATACAGAAATGAAATTTTGTAAGAATGTAGATATCCGTCACCCAAAGAGACTGGTCATACTTATTTCTTTGTAAACAACATTGTGTACTGTGAACAACAACAAATAGCCCCAGGCAATACATTATAAAGGGATCACATGTGTCAGTATAACTCACAAATGGTAAGAGCTATGTGAACGAAACTTTGTAGACATAATGTATTCAATTACCAACATCAAAATTACAACAATACATGTTTGTAACCAAAAACAAATAGCCTCAGGCACTTTTCTTTAAATTTACTTCTTCACTCCTCAAACTTTCCAACGGTAGCATGCATAGAGATGAAACTTGGTATGTATGCCTATAATATCATTCCCATGACAATTACATGTTTCCATGACGACTCCGTTTTGTTTGAAAAGCCTCAGGCACTTTTCTTCAAAACCACTTCTTCACTCCTCAAACTTGCTAACTGTAGCACGCA